TAGGTCAAAACCATTGGTGGAATTTCCAAGGGATGAGTAGAAATTGGTTAAAAATCTGTGGAAATTCCATGGGGTAGGCTGGAAATTTGTAAATAATCACGGAATTCCAGGGGGTAGGGCGGAAATTCATCAACATCTGCGGAATTCCAGGGGAGGGGGTCCAAAAAATGGATGTCCTCCATAGGGGGTGTGTGGATTAAAAATGCAATAAGCCATTACATGCTTGTGGTGTTTAGCCTTGGGGCGGCTGTATATAAACATTGTAACCTATATACTATGTGATTAACGTTTTCATGTTGCTATTAACCTTTTAAACAGCAGTACGCTGTGATCAAGTGTGGAATAATCTTCCTACTCAATATAAAGAACCTGCTAAATCTTACGACTCCTTCAAAAAAATAATGAAAAAGTACTTCTCACAACTAAATTTAATAGAATAACATATTCCTGTAAGTATAGAAAAACTATAAATCAAAAATTGAATTGTAAATATAGCTTACTATCATATCATATAATATTTAACTATTCTTTTTCCTTTCTCCTAAAAGCATTCGAACTGATGCTGCATATTATTTTGCTAATTAGTTTAAATTTATAACCTAGGGGCCTAAAACAAAAAGCCATATGGTTTCTAGTAGGCTCCTAGCCCATTTCTTGTAAATAGTTTATTTCTTTTATGTGCAATATCAATATCTTGGGCGAATCAGCAAAATAAATAAATAAATCAACCATACTTTATTATTTACTCTGTCTAACGGCAGATGATTTTACTCGTCGAGGGGAGAGTGCTGCCACTCAATGGGTGTTATAATATTCATTCACTGAAATCCTGAAATGTGGCTTGTCAAGTGAAACAGAAATGTGAAACAGAAATGTGAAACAGGTGTATTTTGGTTGGGGCAGTGTTGGGGAGGTGTGTGCACATACCCCAGGGGTATAGTGCATTTTCAAGGTCTCCTCCCACAGATCTGTGGTGCAATAAATTAAAATAAATCACCAACATACAGCCATTTGCAGCTTGTATTTTAAATGCATTATTACATTGTTGAAAAGTATGTATTCATTGCCTAGAAACACATTGTTGCTGAGCTCTTTACGGGCGGAACACGATGTTGGAAAGTGTAAACAAAAAAGATGCATACCACAAACCTAGGACAGACAAATAAAAATCTATTCCGGACACATTGACGAGAATTCATTATAATTGTTATTTTTTGTCATGCTGTCACAGTTTCTGTCGGAGTATTTCAAAAGTTTTAAAAGCTCATCTTGTTTTAGTTCGTGTCTTGAGTTTTGAGATTTCTTTCTCTGGAATTTTAAACATTTTCTCTTTCATTTCTTTAGTGACCCACATTTAGAGCTGAGTAAGAACATATTTAAAGGATTGATTGCAATTTCTGTCGTATTTCTATTTGTGTGTATGTTGGTTGCACCAAATGGTGAGTAGCAATGGATGTCAAATATTCTAGTGAATCTAACTGTTATTGTCCTTTCGTCCTCCTTGTTTCTTGACAGCATGTAACAATAAAAAATCAAAACAGTACAGGATATAGGTCATCAGAAGATATATACAGATGTTGAAGGAACTAAATTGAATTCTGAAATATCACCTACTCGAACCGACTTGACCTCGTAGCTCTGCTGGCAGAGTATTGGACTAGCAAAGCATTTATAATAGGTTGTGGGTTTGACTCCAAGATTCAGAGTAGCATCATGATTCATCATAAATAACTTTATTTAATAAACTATTATTATTCCAGGTCCATTTACAAGGCCTCACCCATTGCTGTGGAGAATAGTTTTTGGTAGGTTTGAAATGAATTAGGCAGCCTAATTTAGGCTTATGTTATAATGAATATTATAATGTTGACAAACACTTTAGACCCAGTTCTAAGTAGCTTTTGCTGTTTGCTTAGGTATCAGTGTGATTTATCTGTTGGCCTTGACATTCCTGCTCTTTTTGAATTATCGACAAATCAAAGATATTCTCATATTTATTGATGACGATCTTAAGTATGCAGGCCCTGATATGAAGGTAATGGATTGATCTCAGTTATTAGTATAAAACTGATAGAGCTACAGTGGATGAACAAGAGATAATCCTTACTGGACCTCTAGGACGAACAGTTCAGAACTGATAGAGCTGTCCAGTATAAATAAAGTTAGTTTAATTTATGTTTCCTCCTGTAGTAACACTGGCTCAATTATGCAAGTATAAGTAAAGTTAGTTTAGTTTATGTTTCCTCCTGTAGTAACAATGGATCAATAAGAGATGATCCTTACTGGACCTTAGAACTGATAGAGCTATTCAGTATTAATTGATAAAGTTGGATATCTTTAGGAGTATGCAACTGACTGTCGATTGAGTTGGGCCAAACTTTATGAATCTATGGATCTTTTTATCCTTTCTCACTTCATTGGTTGGGCTGGAAAGTCATTGCTTATGAGACACGCTGTACTTTGTTGGTCTGCTAGCATTACCTGGGAGATTACTGAGGTACAGTTATTATTATTATTTAAATTTGTTTAAACACGGTAACCTATCAGTTTCCTGGTTTTCATAGGGCCGTGCAGTATTTAGGAGAGCTTACACCATGGCAGCTATATTATTATTTACTCATTATTAATTGTTATTCCTTAGGTATTCTTTGCTCATCTCTTACCAAACTTCAAAGAATGTTGGTGGGATGCTATTCTCCTGGATATTGTCATCTGTAATGGTTTGGGTATCTATGTTGGGATGTATCTTTGCAAGAAGTTGGAAATGAGAACTTATCATTGGGAGAGCATCAAGTCAGTCATTCAAACTTATCCATTATAAATAAATTTAGTCTAGTTTAGGTTTCTTCCTGTAGTAACACTGGATCAATAAGAGATGTCTCTACCTGGACCTCTAGGAAGAACAATTTAGAACTGACATCCATTATAAATAAAGTTAGTTTTGTTTAGGTTTCCTCTTACTGGATCAATGAAAGATGATCCTTACTGGAGCTCCATGGAAAACAGTTTAGAACTGATAGAACTATCCAGTATAAATAAAGTTTGTAGCTATAAAGTACACCTGTTTTCGGCCTGGACCTGTAGGAATAACAGTTCATAACAGATAGAGTTATCCAGTATGAATTAAGTTAGTTTTAAATTAGTTTTAGTTTCATTTGCTCTCTGTTTATTTTCACTCAGAGATATTCAGTCCACCACTGGAAAATTACGGAGAGCCATTTTACAATTCACGCCAGCAAGGTACTAATAGTTGTTTTAAAACTGATAGAAAATTAAAACTATTTGAAAATTCTACATAAGAAGAATGCAACCCATTAGGCAAAGTATCGGGAATTTGAGACACGTTGTGTAATTTTGTTTTGCAGCTGGACTCGAGTAAATTGGACGGATTCAAATTCGACTTATAAAAGACTTTTTGCTGTTTATATTCTCGGCGTTGTTTGGCAGGTCAGGCGTGTTGTATTGTGCTACGTTGTGTTGTGTTGCGCTGTGATGTTGTGTGTTGTGTTGTGTTGTGTTGGTGGCAATGGTGGTCAACGTTAGAAATGTTGCCATTTACAGGAGCTAAAAAATTAAACTACATCGCTCAATTTATATTTATTTGTCTCCAAATACAAGACTTCTACATATAATGAAAAGAATGAACATAATTTTCTCACTCTGATAACTGCAGGTTGACCACCATCTGCTGCATGATAGTGCTTTGTGAAACACAACTAATTGTTGTGTGGTATTTTAGTGTAATATTATCGTATTTTATCTTTTGTAGCTTGTTGAACTGAACACATTCTTCCTGAAACACATTTTCCACATTCCGAACCCACATTATCTAAACATTTCTCGTCTTCTATTAATCAGTATCATTTCTGCACCAACTATAAGGTAGGTTTGGACGGTTGAATTGCTTATTGTGAGAGTTTACATGAGAGTTGATGAGAGTTGAGAAGCGAGAGTTTGCATGAGAGTTGATGAGAGTTGAGAAGCGAGAGTTTGCATGAGAGTTGATGAGAGTTGAGAAGCGAGAGTTTGCATGAGAGTTGATGAGAGTTGAGAAGCGAGAGTTTGATTAACTGTGATGAAAGTTGAGAAGCGAGAACAAGAGTTACTGGATATTACAGCGCGCTTAGCCAAAACGCTCGTCAGAATTTGAACCATGCACTATAGTCGATGAAGGTCAATGAAATTTGGCGGATTAAATATTTTTTCTCTCTTCAAAAAAAATTAGCCTTATTCATTTTGAAATTTATCTTTTTTTAGACAATATTATATTTTTGTAACTGATACAAGAACAAAGCGATTGGGAACCCAATGTTGGGTGTTTATGTAGGTATATCTTTGAATCTAAGTGATCTAACAGGCATAAACACACGTTAGATGGTTTGGTCCATTCCTTTGCATGCCAAGTATATTAATTTATTTTTTATGAAGTATCTGTATGTATGTGAAATTGGTCCTGAAGTATCGATATTTGTGTTTTTAGTACTATCACGACGGTTGAATTGCTTATTTGCATTAAATTTGGAACGGAACTTTTTGCGAAAACCGAAAAGATTAATATTGTAATGTGGTTATTGTTTCAGGTGAGATAGTATCATGTCTTTCATCTCAGAAACAGGAGTTAGATTCCCGAAATATACAGTTGTTTGATTATAATTTCACCTCAGTCACATGTGAGAAGAGTGCTTCCAGTTTGACAAAACACTGCAGTCATTCGTTGCCTGACACTTTGTCTGAAACTAATTCCTTTTCGTCCTCTAGTTGGTGTTTAGCTTTTTAATTGTCTGTGTAATGGTCATAAGACGAAATAGGGTAAGTGATTTAAAAATCTTCAAATGTTTCCTGGTTTGCCCTCCTTTAGGAAACATGGCTAGGAAACAACGTTTCCCGGATCATTGTTTGTTTCCCGGATCATTGTTTGAAAACAATGTTTCCTGGTTTGTCCACCTTCGGGAAACATGGCTAGGAAACAATGTTTCCTGGTTTGTCCACCTTCAGGAAACATGGCTAGGAAACAACGTTTCCTGGTTTGTCCATCTTCAGGAAACATGGCTAGGAAACAATGTTTCCTGGTTTGTCCACCTTCAAGAAACATGGCTAGGAAACAATGTTTCCTGGTTTGTCCACCTTCAGGAAACATGGCTAGGAAACAGTGTTTCCTGGTTTGTCCACCTTTGGGAAACATGGCTAGGAAACAATGTTCCTGGTTTGTTCACCTTTGGGAAACATGACTTTTAGGAAACAATGGTTTTTCCACCTTCGGGAAACATGGCTAGGAAACACTGTTTCTTGGTTTGCCCACCTTCAGGAAACATGGCTAGGAAACAATGTTTCCTGGATCATAGCTTGGAAACAGTGTTCCCTGGTTTGTCCACTTTCAAGAAACATTGCTAGGAAACAATGTTTCCTGGTTTGCCCATCTTTGGGGAACATGGCTAGGAAACAATATTTCATGAAACAATGGTTCCTAGACTGCCCAGTAGTGACTGCCCAGTCCTTACAGTAATTGTTTTTTTCCCAGAGTGCGGGGTCTGAAACCAAGGGTGAAATTCTCGCCAATCTTCCCTCAGATGAGAACAGCAAAACCTACAATTACGTTAACAGCAACGGAAAACACGTCGTGGAGCACGAGGGCCTGGGTCCGAGACCTTCGTCGATAAACATTCAGCGCGTGTAACACGAAGTATGGCAAAAGATACCAAGGATCCCGCTGACGGAAAGGTTTTAAATCGGAGAAAATCTAACATGAAGTAGTAGCGTTTTCTTGGCTTTGTAGCTTTTTCACTTCTTTAGCTGCGCCATATTATGACCTGATGTACATTTCTTACATATCTTAACACACAAAACACACGCTATCGAATATTTCAAAATACATTTCCAACGTTATACTAGGCCAGTGAGTATGTATATAATCTTTGAAATTGCATGGTTTACCGTAATTTTTATCAACTTTAGTAATTATTAGTTTACGTAGCTAAGCTTTGATGTGAATTTATTTAGACTAATTATAGTGTGATGTGGTGTCTGTGATTTGAATTATTGCTTGTTTTGACTGCATCAAAGTGTCCACAATCGCTGCAATCGACGGCAAATCGATATTTTGACGTTCCAGTCATATATAATGCGGTCAGTAATTTTTATGGTTCACGACGGTTGCTTAGCAACGGGACGCTTGTCTTTTAAAAACACAGATTGAAACAAGAAAGCCAAGTAGTTCACCAAAACATTGTCACAGAAAACAGCCAGAACTTTGCTTTAGCTTTGAAAACAAATCGGTATCATATTCAGCAATGGCTTTGCCTTTCTTGGTCGGGAATAATTTTAACGATCCAACGGTAGGATTTGAATTATTCAGGTTTCTTGACACGGTTTGTGTATGTTTTGGTTTAATGTTCCTGATAATTTTTCAGAAAACCCGCTTCCATCGCTCGCAAAGTTTGGGCTGGAACAACGGCTATGCTTTGCCTGTTACCCCGAAGACAGCAATCGGTGGAGAGCCTTTGCCGGTTAGCCAGCTGACGCGGGAAGAACTAGACGAACTCGCCAATTTTAAACCCAGTTTAACATACGGTCAAAAAGTTCAGGCTCCTCCTGAGGATTTTATCCCGGCACATGTGGGTTTTGACAAGAAAGTGCTGCTGTTTTTGGGCTACTTCAAGCAGACGGTTCACGAATCTGCCGACGAGTATTACAGAGTTCGTCCGGTGAAGATTTATTATTATTTAGAAGACGATTCGATCGCTGTAATTGAACCGATGGTTGAAAACAGGTAGGCTTATTATTGTTTATAAATATTGTGCTGGGAATGTGTTTAGTGTTACAGGTGTTAGAAAAGGCTGATTGGGGAAAGGATTGAAGTTTGGAAAGCTTGTTTTTAATTATAGCAGGGGCATGAGTAGTTTAATGCCCATAGCAATACATCAGCCATTGCACTGCATGCATGCATATATTTGATTAATTAAGGCCCATTCATACGATACGACTATAGTCTCCCGAAAATGTAGCGTTGTATATTATTTCCCCAAGGTTGGCGAGAAAAATAAGTGGGATGAAGATTGCCATCTCAATGTGGCAATGTCACAAGAAGATAAAGCTCTTTGATTGGCTGGCTGAAATCTTGGCCAATCGGAGAGCTTTAGTTTGTGATGTCAGGATGGCAGCTGTCATCCTGCATAGTTTAAAAAATTGTATAAATCGTATAAAAACGACTTTTTTTCACAGTGGAATACCTCAAGGCAAGCTGATCAAACGACAACAACTGCCAAAAGATGACCTTGGCAATACCTGGCACTGGAAAGATCTCAATCTGGCCATCAATGTCACATTATATGGCAAAGTTATTCGAATTTGTAACTGTGATGAATGGACCAAGGTATGTGGAAACCTGAACTATTTAATTAATACATGCCTGCCATAGCAGATTTCATCCCCTTGGGGAGGCTCGGTTACAATGCGATTTGTCCCCCGGAGGTGTTACTATGTGTATGTGTGTGTGGGGGGGGGCAGGGACAATACCGCACCTGTAACCTTAGTGGTTGTCTGTTGGTGATAGACCCTTTCTCCTTAAATAAATTTCTTTCTGTAAAGTTCACCCCCTCCCCAATAACCTCTCCCTCTGACTATAAGCCCACCTCTCCAATAAAACCCTCTGCCAAGCTCACCTCCTCCCCAATAACCCCCTCTGACTAAGCCCCCTCTCCAATAAAGCCTGCCACTCTAATAAACCCCTTTCAATCTGTCAAGCACATCCCCTCTCCAATAACCCCCCCCCCCTCCAATAACCCCCTCTCCAATAACCCCTCTAAGCCTGCCACTCTAATAGACCCCTTTCAATCTGTCAAGCACATTCCCTCTCCAATAACCACCCCTCTGACCAAGCCTATGGCCTCCAAAGAGCACCCCCTCCGATTAAGCCCAACTCTCCAATAAACCCCTCTCTGACTTAATCTGAAGTCATTTCAACCTCACAGGAGTTCATGGCAAGTGAAGGCATCGAATTGAACCGTCCAGAAGAGATCGCGAGAGATCCATACACCGAAGGCAGGAAGCAGCCGCCTCGTAGCTACACCACGCCTTCAGAGTTCGATAAACTTAGACAGTTTTTGGTGATGGATCGGAAAGTGTTGAGATTTTATTGTGTCTGGGATGACAGAGACAACATGTTTGGTGAAATGCGACCATATGTAAGTTGAGGAGCATAAGATTTGCATATTTTGCCTGAGGCATTGCCGATTGGAACAACGATTAGGGCCGCCATACCAGATAGCTTTCCGTAGCGGCGCGAAAAAACAGCTATCCGATACGGAATGTACAACTTTCAGAGACCGAGCAAAACAACATTTCTCCGTTGCAATAATTCATCTGAAAATAGCGTTCCTAAAACTACGAATAGATGTTTTTCACGTCGCTTCGGAAAGCTATTCAGTACCTATAGATCTCTGTGATTACATATTGAGAAAATTTTAAAAACTCGGTGTTTTGAAAAGTTCGTAATTTGTTCCTTTGTTGAAAACACCACGTTGATGTATGCAGTGGTAACGCATTTTATCCTCATTAAATCTTCGCAAGTCCAACTGTCCAAGTAAAAGCAAGAGCAATAATGAGGATCGTCAGTGTTTTGCACCAAAAAAAAGTTGAGTTCGTCAATGAATTCTTAGATTCTTCATTACTATTCCTAGATTCTTTATTACTATTCCTAGATTCTTTATTACTATTCCTAGATTCTTCATTACTATTCCTAGATTCTTCATTACTATTCCTAGATTCTTCATTACTATTCCTAGATTCTTCATTACTATCTCGTGGACGACACGGTCGAGGTTCGTGAGGTTCACAGTGCTAACGATGGAAGAGATCCATTCCCTGTTTTGATTCAAAGACAGAAACTGGCTAAGGATAGGAACGCGACTACATGTAAGATCATTCATGAATACATAAGTGTTAATATACAGTTATCTGATTATTATAGAGGTTCAGATTTGAGTTTTAAGTCAGTTTTCCACTTCAGTAGTTGAAGTCAAATCTGCACCCCTTAATTATAATTATGAAACCTTTACCTTTCCAGCCTCGTTTCCACGTGCCGTGTTGGAGCTGACAGAAAAAGAGATCAGTGATTGGTTCCGTCCCTCAGACTTGATGGTGGGTCGTACGGTGACCATGTTAGGACGCAGGTTTCTCTTGTATGATTGCGATCAGTTCACAAGGGAATATTATGCAGAAAAGTTTGGTGTGACTGATTTCCCTCCTGTTGATGTCGCGGACAGAAAGGGTGCAGCACCAGAACACGTATGTATCTTGATAAATGCCAAAACTCTGTTTTCAAATGCCAAAACTCAGTTTTCAAATGCCAGAACTCCTTTTTCAAAAGCCAGAACTCCCTTTTCAAATGCCAAAACTGTTTTCAGATGCCAGAACTCCTTTTTCGAAAGCCAGAACTCCGTTTTCAAATGCCAAAACTCTGTTTTCAAATGCCACTCGGAACTTTTTTCAAAAGCCAGGATTCCTTTTTCAAATGGCAGAACTTCGTTTTCGAATGCCAGAACTTCGTTTTCAAATCCCAAAGCTGACGTTTATGTAAATCAAGACAAATCGTGATTAAACATTTATAACTGATTTCTTTTGAATTTTCTTCATGAATTATTAATGATATTTTAATGACAGATACATAATTTCCTTTCAATCGTTTAGGTAATTCCTCCCTACAACGGCTTCGGATCCCTGGAAGATACGCTGCAGTCCTGTTTATCCTTGATCCCGCAACCGCCCAAGAAAGATTTCATTCGAATGTTGGAGAACGATAACAAAGTTTTACGTTATTCTGCCGTCATGGTACGTGCGGGTAGATTTGCAGTAATGATAGAGCTATCCAGTATAAATAAAGTTAGTTTAGTTTAGGTTTCCTCCTGTAGTAACACTGGACCAATAAGAGAAGATCCTTACTGGACCTCTGGGAAGAACAGTTTAGAACTGATAGAGCTATCCAGTATAAATAAAGTTAATTTAGTTTAGGTTTCCTCCTGTAGTAACACTGAAACAATAAGAGATGATCCTTACTGGACCTCTAGGGAGAACAGTTTAGAACTGATAGAGCTATCCAGTATAAATAAAGTTAGTTTAGTTTAGGTTTCCTTCTGTAGTAACACTGGACCAAAAAGAAATGATCCTTACTGGACCTCTAGCAAGAATAGTTCAGAACTGATAGAGCTATCCAGTATATAAATAAAGTTAGTTTAGTATAGGTTTTCTCCTGTAGTAACACTGGATCTGGGGAGGACTGTTTGGAACTGATCGGTAGAGCTAACCCGTCTGTTGTAGGCCTGTGACGACTTGCGCTGTTTTAAAAGTGTAGCAGAACTGTTGTTCCCAGTTTCATAAATAGATTGTGTATATCATGAACAGACGGTATAAATCTTATTTTTTCCTTACTCCCCAGGAGTCGGTACGACCGGAGGACAGGGATCGCAAGTTCATCATAAGCTACCGGCTTTCCGATGACATGATGACAATATACGAACCCCCGGTACGAAATGCCGGTATGCTGTGTGGCAAATTCCTACAACGTACGCGGGTACAGAAACCCGGTACCCCCACCGACAACCCGGAATTTTATACCCCCGGAGATTTTTGCATAGGCGCCAGGATTCATATATTTAAACACCGGTTTATAATCACCGATGCTGATGAGTACGTGCTCAAATATTTGGAGGCTAACGCGGATAAATTTCCCAAAGAGACTATTGATTCGATTCGTCAGAAAGTTGGGAGATCTTCAGGTTTGGGGCAAGGAAATTTGAACGGTGATAGTGGAAGGATGGATAAACCGGAGGGAATTAAAACGGAATATCAAAGAAGGTAAGCGCTGAAATTAACACGCAAAAATTTCACATCTTTTAGGAAGCCGTCAAAAAGTTGTGTTCGCATTGCTTTTCCCAAGTTGTCAACAAGTGTGGAACAACTCGTTGACGGTTGTAACAACCTTGTTGATATTATCAGACTTGTTGCAAGGTTGTTACAACAAGTCCGATACAGTCATGATAGAACAATGTTGTTACAACCTTGTGCTGTCAACCTTGTAACATTCTTGTTATATCATGACTGTATCAGACTTGTTAGAACAACCTTGTAACTAGTCTGATAATGCCATCAAGCTTGTTACAAGTTGTGAACAGCTTGTTCCAAACTTGTTACAACAACTGGGAACAAGCAGTGCGCACACAAGTTGTCGACAGCTTGTGAACAGTTTGTAACAAATTGTTTGCAGACCTGTAACAACTTGTGCGTTGTAGTTGTGACAACGATAAGCAAAGGGTTATTATGAAGATTTAAAATAATGCATAATGCATTTCTTTCATTTTTAGATTTTAAACTGAATAGATGAACATTCTTGTAAACGGAGTAAAGAAAATACCAGAGCTGCTTTAAGTCTTAGCAATATTTTTACAGGTCACACTACAATGCAGTTTACTGTATAAACATTGTAAAGCATGAATAATTTTTAATCTGGTTCAGATCGTACATTACTGTAAATATTACAAATAAAAGTAAGAATAGTTTGATGAACGATAACAATTCTTGTGTTGTTTGTTTTACGTGTTTTTGAGTCACGTTTTGCTTTCAAGATGTACCGTTGTACGTTTGTTAATTGCTGAAGGCAGAATGTCCGATCGTTTTAGTTTTCAGCTTGTTTGTTCTTTTTCTTTATACTTTTTGTTGAACTGTGATAGAATATCTACAACTTTCATATTGCCTGTGTCAAGTACCATGGCTTCTTTGTCAGCTGAAAATGGAATGGTATAAAATTTAGTTTGAAAGAGGCACATAACACAGACACAGTCCGGCATCACAGTATACAACGCCCAATTCACATTTTTAAATTATACGCATGTTCATGACACTGTTGTACAGAACGAAACAAAGGTAACCAAGCATTTATTGTGTTCGTGTACTCGCTGGTAATGGATATAAATGTGCGTTAGCTGGGAATTAAGATTCTTACTTAATTCAATTTTATGTCAGTCTATACTCTATAGTCTATACCTACCAAACTGGACTTCAATTTTAGGATCATTTTTCTTGTTGCTAATCTCCGAGTGGATTTGACATTTTGGATTGGAATCTCTGACGGTTTGTGTGTCCAAAATCCTCAAAAACTCCCTAGTATAAAATTCAGAAAAAAATATGAGTATTTACATCAATTACATTGCACATTTTCTTTCAAAAAGAATGGATTTAATGGTAGATGCTTAAATATTTATTAGGGATAAGAATAAGCAAGGGTAGCTTATGGGTATATTCAGACCTTGCAGAGGCTGTTTCCCATTGAAATGGATTAAAAACAACTTTAATTTTGGAAATAAATCTTAAATTCAACCCCTTTGCGGCGGCCATATTGTTTCGAAAACGTTCACGAATTTTGGCCACAAATCAATAATTTATTATCCCGCTTGTGATTGGAGGAGGAGACAAACGGATTGTAGTAATAGCCAATCAGAACTGATGTTATAAAATATTTTGACGACGAAAATAAATGAAATTCCTTCGACGGTGAGACGGCCATTGTTGAAAAGAACGTGTTGTTTTAAGCGTTCGTTTTGCCCTCAAAAACTGGGATATAACGCGAACTTTTTAATGAAATTTGAAGAAAACATGCCTCGTTCGAGAAGGCGACGTGAGGGGAGTTCAGAAGAGAGCAGCGTTGCAAGTTATCGGAGAAAAAGGCATCGACGTAGTTCGCCCTACGCTTCGCATTCGAGTCGCAGTACTTACCGAAGCCGGCGTTACGAAGACAGTAAAAGCAGTACTGGAAGTGGAAGAAGGAGGCCACGGAGCAGAAGTAGAAGTGAACGCCGACAGAGGAGAAGAAGAGATAGTCCTAATGACTCAAAATATTCTGTAAGTAACTTGTTTTATAGCGGAGAAAAATTCAAAAATTTTGCCTTTCTGCTGTTCGTTCGACTGCCAAGAATTGAAGGGACGAGCAAGATACATTTGTAATACTATTTGGGGTATTTTAACAAAAGCATTGGCCTTCTAACTTTTAAAAACCGATGGGAAACCAAATTTTAAATCACTGTTGAGTGTGGCACTTTTTTTAATACTATTTGGAAATCTCTGGTTTCAGCCAATGTTATCTTGAAATATGGTCAGCGATATTGTCTGTGGGCTCGAAATTTGTCAGAATGAAATTTTGATAACATGCGCCTAAAGCAGAAATGTGTAAAATGCCCCAGATGTATTACTTTATAGAAAGTCTGTTTAATAAAGCATGTTTAAAATTGCACAATATATGCATTTCACAAGTTCGGTATCTGGTTAATTGACTATTTTTAGGTTTAAAGGTAGGTGCCGTGTGGTAAATAATTCTGATAACTTAGCTCAAATGACTAGTTTGCTGAACTTGCTAGATGTGCATGTTGCTATTTACACTTCTGGTGCTATATTTGTGATTGTAAAAATCTGTGCTTGCATTATGATTCAATTATTGTAAACTCTATATGCAAAATATCACATGTCATACACATAATATCACATGCTTGTCATACTAGCAAAGTGTGGCATTTAATTGAGAATCAAAACTCACATGCCCTGCTTGTGTGTATATCTTTCTATATCTGAAAATGAAATGCTGAATTGAATGTCCCGTTAATGCAACTGCGACGATAATGCAATTGTTTCGATCAAATGGATGTGAATGAATTTCAATGAATATCGCATATCTGTCGAATTGCTGGCTGTTTGCACAAAACCGTTGATCACAACAGAAGGAAAGACAAGGGAGCGAAGAGAAGGGAAGGAAGGACGGAACAAGCCAAATGGTGCAGGATGATAAAGATGGTCACTTAAAGTACAAACCTGGCGATTGGTTGAATGAAAGATGTATTAAAATTTTTCAGTACTCTCTTTGTTTTGCGGTAACATTAGATATACTTAAAGATGTTTTGAGTGAGTTGCTGCCGTTGTTTAGACTTTAGATCAGGTTTCATAATGGTAATTGTTGAAGATGTTATGGGCTTATGGCAATGACTGGTGAATGGAATTTTGATAATACTAGATCGAGAAACACTGATAATACTAGAATATGTTGTGTTCTACAGTAGTTTTCTGAATTGTTTATGTATCTAAACTGCCTAAAAATGAGTAAAACTCTTTGGTGTTTCAAGCGAAGTTCTTCGTCCAACATTGAAGTGTTTTAATTTGGAGCAAATCAGTAGTCATTGCCAATGGTGTTATCATTATTAAACCTGACACTGAACAATTGAGGCAGGCAGCTTTCTCAAACATTTTTTGAGCTCTGAGATCCGTTGAAAACCAACACGAAATAATATTATGGTTGTTTGATTTGTACTTGACAGTCTTGACTAACAATGACTACACAGTTGCTTGTAATGAACTCATAAATCATCCTTTTGAAAGCATACTTCACAATAATTTTCTTTTTACGATGGTACAGTACCAATGAGATAAAGTAATATGCTTTTTAATTGAATGAAAGATCACATACTGATAGTCCATATAAACTGATTTCCACAATTTATTTTTTGCCTAAATACTTTATGAACACCATCATACAGTTCTTACAAGATGTAGATTTGTTTCAAGTTAAGTTTATAATCTTATTATAAGAAATGTGCTTTCTAAGAACTTCTTTTGAAGTACATACATTTCATCTTATTCACCAGTAATCCAGGCTGTATGGCGTTTTCTTTTTCTGAGAATCAAGACTAAACATCTGCCATATGAAACAGAACATTTTGTCACTTTGGTTTAGCAGCTGTTGAATTCGGGCAAATACATTAAAGTATTTTAACACGTAAAAGTGTCGTAATGTATGGCTTGCACAAGTTCTATACAAATGCGAATTGCACTATTACCGCACTATACAAATTGTGAATATCCCTAGCTCTGATTGGACAGGCAGGTACCATGCTACACGCCTCATATATATTCTTCTGTTGGCGCAATTACGATTTCTTTCAAGAATATGTATTGCTTTTATTTCAGAGTTGGATTCTGTTCATTTCTTGCTTCATTATAATATATTGATTTTTTGTGTTATTTAGATAAAATTCTTAGTATGCTAGGTGAAGGCACGTTTGCCAAGTGTTTGGAATGTTATGACAGGTAGGTTAAAAAATAAGAATTAAGAGGCAATTTTTTTTCAATGTCACGTATATTCAGTGAAAAGTGTTCAAAACCTAAAATCTTTTTGGAGTTCCTCTCAAAATTACTTTGCTTTAGCTTTATTCTCTAGTTTATAGAGTTAGCAACCTGTTTAAATGCATCTGCCGGTTGAGAAACATAAAATAATAGTTAAAAATTGTCAATTAAAATACAATTATCAATGATGCTTTAAAATTGATGCCATATTTACACTTTTACAGCCATGTAAGCAAAACTTACTGAACTTCAGACATCATTTTCTCTTTGGCATATAAAACATTACAGATAAAACATTAAACATACTTTTTAAGTTTGTTTGCCGATTGAGAAACGTATCGAAAAATAAAAATTTTGAATTTAGTCATAACGTCAAGTGGTATATTAAACGCATTAGTTTTGAGTGTGTGTTATGTAACATACAAAAAAATCTCATAAATAGTAACCATTTACTGACACAGTGCCTCCAATTGTACCCTAGTATCTTATTTTATGAAGAAGCTTTCGTGGGTAAGGATCATAGATATCTTATATACACTAGATAGCGCATCTTTTGTAGTAAAATTGAAGCCAAGAATATTCCAGCGGTTACCCCCATTTGAATAGATGGTGGCCATGTTGGTAGGAAAACAGCAATAACTTTCATCATTTGAATAGTTTAAAAATGTATTTGGAATAGGTTTAACTTAATGTTTAAGTTCTCTGTTTAATGAAATAGAAAACATACGAATCTTCTCATTTCATGATAATATCCTGAGTCTGCAATCACGGCTTCAATTTTTGAATTGCAGAATAATTAGATGCACTATCTAGCCTATATTAGATATCTGTGGTAAGGATGCAATACTTTTCGGCAATTTCAGGTACCATAGTTGCATTCCTACCAACGAAAGCTTGTTCATATTATTGGCACCTACACTGGCACAGACGGTTCAAGATTTGTTATTTTAGCCTGTCTAATATGTTAATTTTTTGTTTAGTTCCACAAGACAAACCGTTGCTGTGAAAGTAATTAAAAATGTTGATAGATACAGGTAACAAATTAATTAAGGGCTTATTTCCAAGCCTTGAAATTTTACATTTTCAGCACTGTCCAATGTTATACTAGCAACTTGAAATCAGCTATCCACCCGGACAATCTAGTATCCCACATTCGAATAATGGTTATTCTAGTTAGCAGTATCAAAATGTTGAAGCAAAGTTCAAAATTCAATGTTGGTTCTCTTTTGGGATACTGCAAATTTTAAGCCCAGAGTCCTATATTGCCATAACAAATTTTACAGGCAAAATATCAAGTATACATTTACAGTGATTTCAAACACCGAAAAGTATGTTGAAAACAGCACATTTACGGACCTTGAGCTTCCCCTGCACTAACATCTTATTGCCTTTTAGGGATGCCGCTAAAATTGAAATAAAAGTTCTGGAAAAAATTTGCCAGAGGAATTCTGCAGACAAAAAGTAAGAGTGATACAAAGTGAAGTTTTATCACAGAATAAAGACCAACAGCATAACTGCTGCCATGTCATGATTTGCAATGATTTGTCATCAAAGTGCTGTCACCATGTTCCTAGCCAGGAGAGGCATTCACCTCCCTGAATTTTGCCATTGAATGTTTTTTAGGGGGTGAGTGCCTTGTAAGTGCACTGACTAGGAACGTAGCGACAAAATCAGAGGCAAAACCAAGAAGTCAGTCGTTTGTAACCTCTCTATTCTGTGGCATTATGCTTGAAGTGTTTTTTTTTGAAAATAATTCTTTCATGGAAGAATTCATTTTTTTTCTAGCTTATGTATAATGTTGGTTGATTGGTTTGATCATCATGGTCATATATGTTTGATATTTGAAAGATTGGGTCTGAGTGTTTTTGAGTTCATGGTAAGTTTGGGGACCAAGTAACTGATAGATGAACCAAGTACACAACCAACTGACAGTCTCACAGTGGAATTTGGTTATGGTTCTGTTGGTGAATGACTCCTAAATTCTTGTGAATTTTCATATTTTTCTAGAAAGAGAATAGCTATCAAGGTTATCCTTTAGATCAAGTTCGACACATTTCCTACCAACTAACTGCAGCAATAAAATGTAAGCTTCTAATCTTCGTGTTTGTTTTACACGTTTCTCCTGATCTTTTTCCAAAGTATCTGTTTAGATTCATCTCTTTTAACTAAGTATCTTATAAATTTTCATAATTTTTCTCCTCTAGTTTTACACAGTATGTCTCTTTGTCACACTGACTTGAAACCAGAAAACATGTTATTTGTGGATTCATCATCTGATTTGTTCCGCAATGAAAAAATGGTAGGTTGGATGTAGGAATGTTCGGTATGAGAAATTTCCGGTATCGGTATATCGTAAAAATTTCTACCGGTTTTCCTTTGATAAGTGTAAAGTAAATTTCTTTAATTGAAGTTTGAAGGAAATTTTGAGTAATTCTAAAAGGGAAAATGATAATTTCGAACATGTTTCGAACGACATGCACGTACTCAGTGTAAAATGTCATTGAAGTGGAAATTCTAAATCTTTGCAGTAGAAAGTTCTTTGAATTGCCATTCAGTAGTAAAATAAAGGTTATGGTTTCGCCCATATAGTTGGTAAATTTAACACGGTAATGTATACCAAAAAATTCCGGTATATCCGAAATTTTTGGTATATCGATATGGTTGAATATCCGGTATCGATATACCGATATTGATTTAATACCGATATTTTCGGTATATCGGTATACCGAACAGTCCTAGTTGGATGAGGAAAAAAAGATGGGTGTCACCAAGCACTATATCATGCAGCCTGCAGTTAGAGACAGTTTAAGACTCTCAAAAGATGAATTACCGTTCAGGTTTTTTTTTCTACAACCATTCCAATAGGAGAAAAATCCTCCACAAGTTGTTTGATTGTCTGTCATTTGGATGAAAAGTCATGTGATTGCAAACAAAGAAAAAAAAAGAATTGAGATTGAATTGTTTAATTTTCTTGTTATGAGTGTCAACAATTTTAGGTTCTGCTGTCCTGAAGTGCTTACTGAAAGCAATGTGGGTTGGGAAGTGAAATTTTGGCTAAGGCAGTGGACTTGTGTGGGTAAAGTTAATATACATAAATGTTTTTCAGAAGACACGTGATAGAATTGTTCGAAAGCCGGATATCAAGGTCATTGATTTTGGTTCTGCAACATTTGAAGATGACCATCACAGTAGGACTGTGTCAACGCGACATTACCGAGCACCAGAGGTGGTTTTAGGTAAGGATATTTGTTTTAAAGTTTATGAGTTCACAGCCAAAAATTTATGAGTTCATGGCCACCATGTCGATGGACAACTCTTATGCGTTTCTTTGAACGAACTTAAGACGTTTAGATAGATAGATAGATACTACTATTACTACAGTTTTAATAGCTACTGCCTTGTTTTTACATTTGTGTAGAATTAGGGTGGAGCTATCCATGTGATGTATGGAGCATTGGATGTATTATGTTTGAGTTATATACTGGATTCACTTTATTTCAGGTTAGTAGCAAGCTCTTTCACTGTTTAGGTTTTGCCATATTGTGGCACTGAATTGTTAAATTGTTTATTTCAGACGCACGAGAACAAAGAGCATCTTGCAATGATGGAAAGAATTCTCGGGCGGTTACCTTCGTCAATGTGTTGGGAATCAAAGTATGTTCATATCAATAGACCTTGTGCATAATGACGTCACAAGGATTGATGCCCGCGAGTTATGCTGGTCTTAGTATAGCCCGGGAAAATTAAACAATTCAAAATGGCCTCTATCGAAATTTTCCCAGGCAATGATTACTAAGAACGGCATTCCTCGCGGGCATCAAGCCTTGTGACCTCATTATGCATAAGGTCTATTACTGTGATATACTTAATACACACGGCTTGCATATAATCTATTTGTTATTTTTCTAGGAAAACGAAGTATTTCTACAAAGGAAGATTAGATTGGGACGAGAGAAGTAGCGATGGGAAATACGTGAGAGAGAACTGTAAATCATTACGAGTAAGAATATAATGTGTACATTAAAACCCGCATATAAGAACCTAGAATTTAAAAACCTGAAAACTCCTTTTTCAAATGTCATAACTTCTTTTTCGAATGCCAAAACTCAGTTTTCAAATGCCAAAACTCAGTTTTTAAATGCCAAAGCTCAGTTTTCAAATGCCAAAACTCAGTTTTCAAATGCCAGAATTCAGTTTTCAAAAGCCAGAACTTTTGCTAAAATATTACCTGCTTGAAACCCAAGAATTGCAGATTTTTAACCAACGCCTTTTCGTACATACACTAACTATTGTGCAACGTATTCGTTTTAGAAATACGCTAAAAGTAAGGAAGAATCCCACCAAAGTTTTTTCGATCTCCTGGAGTGCATGTTGGAATATCAACCTGAGCAAAGAATTACAGCTGCCGAAGCTTTAGAACATCCTTTTTTTGACCAAATGTGCTCTCCGAGCAGAACTAATAGCAGTTCACCACGCACGAGCAGGTGACAGGCGGGGAATTTTGAAGAGGAAGACAAGAGTCACCACCGGCAGATAATCAGAGCTGTGGAAGAATTAGAAGCATTTCGATATATACATACATAAACGGGAATAGGTGACATAATACAGTGAAGTTTTGAAGAAGGTGATTTGAATGATCAGGGTGAAGGCAAGGATCAGGGTGAATTACTGAGGCAGAGAAATCTCCAATATATGCATACATGCATACATACAACACCAGCAGAGAATCATAGCTGTGGAAGAATTAGAAGCATTTCCTTCTCCAAGCAGGACTGATAGCATTTCACCACACACCAGGCCATACAGGGAGACGTCGATAAGAATGAAGAGAAAACTCACAACGAAATACCAGGAAGAAATCTATGAGTATTCCACGTATACAACACCAGCAAAGCTGACCCTATATATATATCGTTTCTGCTAACAACAGCCTTACCACTGGGACCCTAGGGTGGAGTTAACCAGACCCGAGGAAGCACTGTCGTGCAACAGATGAGATGGCAATCAACTTACACAGTTTATAGTTTATTATATCTTGTACTCGAGCATTCACAGTTGTAGTTTAATGTTTGTGTTTCGTTAAACCTGGTTTCCATATTTGGTCGTAATAGTCGTAAAAATAGAGTCACGATCTTTCTCAACGGCCAGTTTCTAATAGTTTATACCTGTAAACCACATATAAATCATAAGTATTCTCAAGTTATAATCACCCCGCGTATTTTCAGTTCTAATTTCGGCCATCGCCTATCGAAGGGAAGATGGCTGTGAAACTCATTAGAATAAGAATATAATTCCTTATCTATGTTAGTCAACGTTTATTCATAAACCTGGTCGTTTCACCGTCACGTGTGTATTGTATTTTTACAAAATCTACCAAAGCAATTTCCAGTTTCCCTATTGTTCGAGTCATGGATAGGTGACTTTCCTAAAATATTGCTATTGGTTAGTTGGGCAAGAATACAATACACACGTGACGGTGAAAGACCAGATTTATGAATAAACGTTGACCAACATAGATAATGAGTTATATTGTTATTCTAATGAGTTTCACAGCCATCTTCCCTTCGATACGCTATGTTTCGGCTGATGAGAAAGATCGTGACTCAATCTTTACGACCATATGGAAACAACGCCTTAGTACAATGTTTGTGTTTCGCGAACAAAGTTTTCCTTGACAAATTTTCCCTTAACAAGTTTTGTTGGTGTGTACGGCAAAAAATGGACAATTTTTCCTTGCCAAGAAATTGACAATTTTTCCTGTCATGCCAGCTTTTGGAGAAGGAAAATTTGTTCGCGTGTACGGCCGCCAAGGAAAGCTTGACAAGTGCACAAGAAATACTTGTGTGGTATTGGCGTGAAATAGATATTCAACACCATTTCATGAAACAAAACTTGTCAAAAGGGAAAGTTGTCAAGGGAAACTTGTTCGCCGTACGTACGGGTAGCTCCTTAGACGTCGTGCATATGATAATGTGAAAGTTTATATCGAGTATTTTTTGTTCCTCAATATAGTATTTTGTATGATCGCTCGCCAAAGCTATCACATGTAAATTATTTTGTATACAATACAATCACAATTGAAATATATTTTAATTTATGTTTCATAATAAATCTGATATACAAATGATAAAGTCGTCGTATTTTTAGTAACTTGTGCGTAAAATGCAACCATTCTGAAATGAATGACATGCATAAGGTTTCGATCTTACTAATATCTAATCTCCAAGTGATAAACCCTTTTCACGTATGCTGTGATTTCCTGTATGCTGTGATTTCCTGTTCTATCTAAAAGCAAAATTAAACGCCGAACGAAAACGTGAATTTCAGTTTTATAAAGTTAATAAATTGCATTCAATGGTTTGGCGGGAAAGGACATTAGCATACTTCCCGCCCGTGGGCCAATCAGAAAGCATGTTGGAAATATTAACCCGGTAAAATATTAAAAGTGTTCACTAATCGATAGATCTGGAAAACAATTAAACAAATGTCAGTATTGAAATTATGTGCTAGCCTGTCAACACTTTTTCGATATTTTTCTTGAATTTTTGGGCTTGAAATCGACAATTCAAGTGTAACTCAAGTGTATATTCCATTACAGCACTTGAAATATTAGCTGAGATGTTTACGAAAGTGGTTTAAATCCAAATTGAATATAAAGCAAAGTCCGCGTAATGGCTGAGGTATGTCGATTGTCAACCCGTCCAGCCGTTGTTGTAAACATGTGTCAGTTGCTTTACATATTTTGTGGTTTTCTGTTTGCTTTTTGCCTTCAATACGTCTGTTCTGTCTTTTTAGAGTCGACTAGGCTACATGTTAATGCTAGAAAATGGCAGTTCAAAAGATCTTGAACAAGTTCGCGTTGAGCTTCACAACGACGAGCTTATTGTACGACGCGATACCAGTCGCAAGAATACAAGTCGACCTTTAAAAAACGTATGTTTATACGATATTGTTATGTGCTTTTATTGATGTATGCTGTCTGTTTGTTGTATGGCCTGTACCCGGTTTGTTTACGGAAATCTAGACGTGTATTTTTAAACGGTAACCTTAAAATTGCATTGTAATGGGGTACTTTGTTTGTAGCATACATATTATAGTAATTATAATAAAGCCAGATTTTTATACAAATTTGCTTAAAATACTATGAGCCCTTTTAGGATGTTTTTTTTTACTGTCAAGGGAGACAATTTTATGTTTTTACCAGCTGCTCGCGGGTAGTATTCATGGCAAAATTGGATATTGTTGAATATAAACTTAGCTCTTTTATATTCACTGATAAGCAAATGAGTGAATTGCAAATATGTTTGCGCCTTATCATTGTCTCCTATAAAGTAATTAGCACCCCCATTTATACTTATTCTGTGCCTAGATAACTGTTGAGTAATGTCATTTGTTGCTAGTGACCTTGTAGCTTGTTTAAATTACAAGCAACTGCCTGAACTGAGGAATATTAAATACATCAGACTCCATCATATTGCTAGCTGTGAGATATATTAAAACAGGCTCTTGGCAAAAGGATTTTGTCCTGTGATCACAGGGCAAAATCCTCTTTGACTTGGCAACTTCCTTTTCTCTACCCTCTGGAATAGTGGAAGAGCCTGTTTCATCCTAAATCCATTGCTTATTGCTAATCCACCCCTCCCCATCGCAGAGTCTGTGGACTTGTTCTGTTAAAGTTGTTCCAGATGAAATCTACCTGTCTATTTGTCATGCTCAGTGAAAGCTACCTTATCCGGAACAAGTCTGTGAACTTATGCGATATGAAATCTATAAATCTATGAAAATTATTTAAGTATTTTCTTCTGGAGCTTCTGCGCTCCATGTAAACAGCCGTGAAGTAAAAGAAATAGGAGACATTATAATTAAGCAAGCAAACAAATCATGCTGGCATAATTTAACCCCCTGCTCAGTTTTGCTTTATCACGAAGAAAGTATAATGTTTATCATGCTAATTTTATCAGATTTTGTAATCAGATAAGATATAATACTATTGTACATTGAATGTTATAATATATAGGTTTGGTTATCTGTTATTTGGTTTAAAAGCATTGCAGTATGATACTGGAAGAATAAAAGCGGCTAGTCGTCATTATACCTAAACACTTTGCAAAATTCACAGCAAAACTAGGTTTTCATATTTGAACACTGACATTACAGCAAGTATTATATATTTAAATTATATACAGTGACCCTATGGGGGGCATTTTTAATTGACATGTTTGGGAGTCCAATGATTCCTTAAGTTGTTTGGTAGATCAAATTGAAAGCACTCGTATAAAACTAAGGTGAAATTATAATATGCAGTCAACTGCATATTGCAGGAATATAAGGCCCTATGCAAGGATTAAGTGCAATGCTGGAGCGGTGTCTAAATCAATGAAGTTTGGCAGGTTTTGATTAAGTTCGACACGACCCGAAGATGCGACAAGACAAGTCTATGCGACACAGGTTTGACGTTGATTTAGACGCTGTGCTTTTCATGTGCCGAACCTAATGCATAATTATTTTTTAACTTTTTAATATAATTATCAATATATTGTCCACGCAATTTGGAATGGTACAATTAAGTTTGACGTCTAAATCAGTTTCCGATATTTTGCCGTATCTACAGCAATCAGATTCGGCGCATGAAAATTTTGCCATCTAAGCCGGGCCTCACCCCAGTCACAGACGTCAAATACACTGGATCACCAACACTCCGATATCGGTTATTTTAATCCAGGGTACAGCGTCAGCAATCCAGGGTTCACCTTCAGCAAACAGCCATGCAAGCAAAGACCCAATTGAGAAGGTGTGTCTTTAATTATAGAGTGTAATTAACTTTAACGGAATGGAGGGTAATTATAACCTTAATGAGAAGGGGTGTAATTAACTATAACAAGATGGAAGGTAATTATAACCTTAACAAAAAGAAGTGTTATTAGCTTTAACGAGGAGTCTAATTAGCTTAACGAGAAGGAGTCTAATTAGCTTTAATGAGGAAGAGTGTAAAATTAGCATTGCGAGAAGGAATCTAATTAACTTTAAGGAGAAAGAGTGTAATTAGCTTTAATGAGAAGGAGTCTAATTAGCTTTATCAGAAGGAGTCTAATTAGCTTTGACGTGAAGGAGTCTAATTAACTTTAACGAGGAGGATTGTAATTAGATTTAACAAGGAGTCTAATTAGCTTTAATGAGAAGGATTGTAATTAGCCTTAACGAGAAGGAGTCTAATTCGTTTTAATGAGAAGGAGTGTAATTAGATTTAATGAGATGGAGTCTAATTAGCTTTGACAAGGAGGATTGTAATTAGCTTTAATGAGAAGGAGTGTAATTAGCTTTAATTAATGAGGAGGATTGTAATTAGCTTTAATGAGAAGGAGTCTAATTAGCTTTGACAAGAAGGAGTCTAATTAGCTTAATGAGAAGGAGGCTAATTAGCTTTAATAAGATGGAGTATAATCAGCTTTAATGAGAAGGTATGTAATTTACTTTAACAAGAAGGAGTCTAATTAGCTTTAACGAGCAGTGTAATTAGCTTTAACAAGAAGAGTGTAATGAGCTTTTTAATGAGAAGGAGTTTAAGTAATGTTTATGTGAAAGAGTGTAATTAACTTTAATATGAAGAAGTGTATAATTCCACCGTTGAACCTCATCATTTCATCTAGGAAAGAACAGTTGTTTTGAAACGAGAATCTAGTGGTTTGGGAATAAGTGTAAAGGTACATTGTAAAACAATAAATTTTCTAAAAAATGTGTCAAGAAAGAACCACTTTCGTTTAGGAAACAATTTCCATTTTAGCCTCTTATTTTTCTATTTATCTTCTGTCTTTTCAGGGTGGTTCAGAAAATAGAATTCCAGTACTTATTTCAAAAATATACGAAGGTCAAGCAGGTATAGGCAATTTCTTTTTGCTCTTCAGTGGCTTTAAAGACACTGTTCAGCCTTTTAAGGTGTATTTAAGGTATTTTTAAGGTGCATTTCAGCTCTTTTAATTGAAAAAAACTAACTAGGAAAATCAATTAAGCATAATTCAAGATCAGCCAACTTAATGTTTTTAACATTTTAAAACATTTTTATTGGTAAAAACATTGAGTTTACTTATCTTGAATTATGCATAATTGATTTTCCTAGTTCGTTTTTGAAATGGGTTGAAATGCACCTTAAAACCTTCATTCAAAAGGCTGAACTATGCCTTTAAAACTAACTTTGGAATTTTATCTTTCATTAATGCTACTTTCTAATGTTCACTTTAGCTGACAAAAATGGGCAATTAAACATTGGAGATATAATTCTAAAGGTATCCCGATTTTGCTTTGTTATATTTGGGAGAAAAAAATCCAAATAATATGTTTGTTTATTATATTAATGTTTTCAATAATCAGGTTGATGGCAAAGATATGAGAAATGCAACACATGACGATGTGGTAAATTGCTCTAGCTTCATAATCTGTTGATATTTGCTGTATACAGGGTGTATAAAAAAAAAGGTAATCGAACTTCAGCGCGCTATTGTATCTGAATTACTCTAAGTATGAACGAGATTTTTTCACATTCGGAAAGATCATGCTATTAGCTGTTAAATGACATCTTCTTCATGCCAAATGGATAAAAAATGAGCAAATACGAATCCGATAAAAAATGTTAGTCAGAATAGCATATTTTCACCGTTGAGAGTTAGGTCTAAAACCATTGAAAATGAATTCCCTTTAGGACTTAAGTTGATCAATTTCACTTCATTAAACTGCACACATATTCATAATCTTAGCACGTTCGTGATTAATTGATTTTTTCTTTTGTTATGCATTGTTTTAATTAGGCACAGAGGTGAAAATATGCGATTTTGACTAACATTTTTAATCGGCCTTGTACATGCTTATTTTTTCTCCACTTGGTATAAAAAGCATGTCATTCAATAGCTAAAAGCCTGATCTTTCCGAATATGAAAACCAATTGTTCATACGCATAGTAATTCACGTATAATAGCGCGCTGAAGTTCGATTACCTTTTTTTTTATACACCCTGTACATCGTAGATTGTATGTAAACAAACAGCGTTAAATTTCCAGGTCGAAGCCTTGAAGAATGGCGGAGATTGTGTGACATTGGTTGTGAAGCATTTAAAAACAAGTATTTAATATTAAAATAATGATTACTGGTAATTAATTTATGAGTTGACGAACATCAGTCGTTTCAAGTATGGTCTTACTTTTTATTCTTTAGTTACTCCGTATCTAAGACAAGCCGCAGCAGTTGGTAAGTATACATGTCTTAAAGTGCAAATTCAGTGGTGAAGCTGTGTTTGAACAACCTGAAAAAGATATAAAGCACCTCAGCATTTAAAGTGAGAGCCTGTTCGCAGGCTATTAAAGTGAATGACCTTTGTTTGGAGGATAATGTTGTTCCACAATGCTACGAACTTCCAAAGAAGGGTTGCATTCTTTCATTTATTTGATTGAAGTTGGTATGTTGTTTGGTGTTTATTGTGACAAATTGTTTTTTAGGAAAGGAAGAAACAGAGACTCATTCAAACGAACTAGAATCATCTTCTAACAAGGTCAATCCAATTTTTTCTTCAAACTAATATTTCTAAGTATTAAAAGTCACGCGCAAAATCTAATTTCAAGTTTTGTACATAAGATTCTGCATTTACATTTCTATTAAACATGTGTTGAAATCAACTTTTATTGCAAGTTGAGGCAATTTTGTTGTCCATATTGCTTCACCTTAAAGAGACTGTTTCATAATCTATTTTCCACACAGTCCCCGGAGACATCTTCCAACCGTTCGTCGTCATCAATGAGCGAAACTGTAGTGGAAGAAATAACAATACCTCTGGATATGGCCTCGTTATCACAGTACAAGACTGGCGAGGATACATTGAGGTTAGGGTTACTACTGGATAGCTCTACCAGTTCTAAATGATTCCAGCTATATAGCAGGCAGAACGTAAGACGTAACAGCTGTCTACGGCAATTTTGACAGTTTCCACGGCATTTTTCAAATTACTATAATAAACTTTAATTTTATTGTTACTTTGGATTTTTGACAAGCTAGAAACATGTCTACGTATTTCTTTAGTGTTTTTTTTTTCGAAGAAAACTTAGACTAAACTAGTGATTTACGCATGAATTGATCAACATCTGAATTCAAGTATCAAAATAGTAATGCACAGTGAATAGTATAAAAATTGCAGTATACGGCAAAAAATTGCCGTCGTTGCCGCAATGATTCACGGCATTTTGTTCTCCCTCTACGGCAATTGCCGCGATTGCCGCGATAAAATTCGAGCCCTGAGCTATAGACTAAATTTTGATCCAGGCAAGAAGAACAAAATCCATCACCATTAGTAAAATTGCAAAGTTTAGCAGCGAAATTTGTATTACGCACGGGAAAATGCGCCACATTTGGGCCGAAAGTGGTGCATTTTCCCGCGCGTAATACAAATTAATACAAAATTTGCTAATTTCGCAGGGCTATATTTTCCTCATTTTACAACATTTCGCAACCAAACTTTGCAATTTTACTAATTTTGACATGCTCTTTCTAACTGTGGTGATGGATTTTGTTCTTCTTGCCTAGATCAAAATTTAATCTATAGCTGTAATAATCTATTATGGTTCTTAACGGTTTGGTATGGTTCACCCTTTATTGATAGAGTCAAACTGGAAGCACTCTTCTCAAATGTGATTGAGAAGAAATTATAATGAAGCAACTGCGTATTGCTGGAATAAATATACCCTTTTCTTTAGAGATGGTTTCGAGGTGATCTCGAAAGATGGTAAGGTTGCCGTGACGTTGTTCAGCAACCAACCCGAGGACCTCACCGTCTGGTATAAAGCTGTGAAGAACAACATCATTATCTCCGCAAGACAAATGGTAGGTTCCTCGCCTGCCTGCCTAACTAAACTAACTTTAAACTGTTCTTCCTAGAGATCCAGTAAGAGGCATCTCTTATTGTTCCAGTATCTCTGTTAGTTCTAAACAGTTCTTCCTAGGGATCCAGTAGGAGTCATCTCTTATTGTTCCAGTATCTCTGTTAGTTCTAAACAGTTCTTCCTAGAGATCCAGTAAGGGTCATCTCTTATTGTTCCAGTGTTACTACAGGAGGAAATCTAAACTAAACGAACTTTATTTATACTGGATAGTTCTATCAGTTCTAAACTGTTCTTCCTAGAGGTCCAGTAAGGATCATCTCTTATTGATCCAGTGTTACTACAGGAGGAAACCTAAACCAAACTAACTTTATTCAGACTGGGTAGCTCTATCAGTTCTAAACTGTTCTTCCTAGAGGTCCAGTAAGGATCATCTCTTATTGTTGCAGTGTTACTACAGGAGGAAACCTAAACCAAATTAACTTTATTTAAACTTGGTAGTTCTATTAATTTCCATCCTTTAATAGTCATTTATGTATTTAATAGATAAGATCTTTGAATTCTACTCTTTCTGAAGATGAACAGGTAAAAATACTTCCGTATGAATAAAGCTTTGGAGTTTGCTATGAAGTTTTTCGTTTAAACCTTGGATTAAGCTAGTCAGCCCCAAGATTATATATCGTAATATGATCTTATATCTTGCTGTTTCCAGATTGTGTTTATGAACTGGGTATGGGAACGATGTTATCAAAGGGGTCAACGTCAAACGTGGTATAGAAAGATGCTAGCAATCAAAGGAAGCGAGATATTGTTGTTTAATCGAGCTCCTGTGAGTAATCAGGTTTCTGTCGTGCGGGCTTGTCGAAATGATGGAAATTCTTTAAAAAAAACCAACAAACATCGGTGTTTCGAGCTAAGGAAGTTGGACGCAAATTACCTCAAAATCTTCACTACTCTCTGAACGTATTCTTCGCGTTTTTTAGAGTTCAATAAGAGATTGGTCAAGACAAGAATTTGCTTATTCCTTGATTGAGATCGAACATAATGTTTGTAAGGTAGGTTCAGCAGGGCTCAAAATATCGGGATATAGGTACCATAACGACTGTATCACCAACATTGCTCTGCAATTCTAAATTGTCTTGCGTATTTTAATGATGTAAATATATTTAGCAAGACGATCTGTTGGACAAGAGAAAACATTGTTTCACCATTGAAAGTACACAGAAGAAAAAACATTACTTCGGAGTAGGTATGTAAGTACGAATCTATGTGCGAATCTTCTTTTGCCAAATCAAAACTGAAAAGAACGAACGCGTGCTCCAGCCCGATTTCCTGTCCTTGAAAGGCCCGATTCGTAGGCAAACAGTGCGCGCAAAGCAGGCTGGGCATTTCCCATTGTTTAATTGCTCCACACTCAAGTAACCACAAAGACTCGCAGTCAGAGGAAGAGATTATTTCGTTGGCCTCAGAGTGACAAAACGTAACAAAGCAACGGTTTTACTAACACTAACCCTACTCCAAACACCAACTCTAACCCTAACCCTAAGGACTTAACCCTACTCCAAATCTGTTTCTAAACCAATCTTGAAAAAAAAACGTTTTGACGAAATGTCATTCTGAGGTCAGCGAAATAGTTGATGCTCAGTCACAGATGTTGCTCCGTGAGTCGAAAATGCGATGGTAAATGGAAGCCAATAAATGAAGAAGTCTTAATGATGTTTTTGTAGATACACACGCAGATCTATTGGATTGGACAACGAAAATAGTAAACTCTGTCCGTATGACAGTGGAAAGAGTAAAGGCGAAGATCTACCCGGGTTCGTGGAAAGGTACAAGAGTTAAATTGCATTTGGACATTGAGGAAGGATTGAAGTTATACACAAGCGATGACAAGGTGATACATTCTTTATCCTTCATTATCCCTCTATGTCTTTCAAAATCCCTCCTTATTCACGTAAATTCTCATGTTTCGTGCCCAACCCTGGAAAGAGGTTGACCCCCAACCTGACACTAAATCTAACTTCGGCTAAGCGCAAAACATGAGGATACCTGAAGAGATATCTTATAATCCTTATGTTTAATATGTTACCTTTTTTATCATTTCCCTTTCATGTCTATTCTTATCCACTCATATCTTTTCTAATTTTTTACCCTCGTAACTAAATGAAATTCGCTGAAGTACTGTAGTGCTGTTATCATAATGAAATTGAGGCGCGCCTTTCTGAGTAAGGCCTCATTCTTTTCATTATATTATTTCACAATATCTTCGAAGTTGACCATCATCTGCCTTCCTGTAACACTTACTGAAATCCACCATTGTTTAGACGTTACTGTGGAGCCACAAGTTTTCTCAGCTTCGTGGATCATCGGACAATGGAATAACAAAACTTACTTTGCTCTTGCAACCTGAAACTGGTCCCGTCGAGGAAATGGTATGGTTGATGAGATCCTTCGGGCTTGAAATATATTTTTCGTTGTCGTTTTTCGTTCCTTTATTGAGTAAGAAATATTCATACGCTGCCGTGGTTGCCATTTGAACGTAGTTCAGACACGAACCACGACGGCTTATTGTAGACGGCTACCTACACTGGACCATCACGTTTGAGATATCTTTTTCAGGTGGTTCAGACACAAACCACGGCAGCTTATTATAGAATACTTCCTACATTGGACCACCACGTTTGAGATATCTTTTTCAGGTGGTTCAGACACAAACCACGGCAGCTTATTGTAGAATACTTCCTACATTGGACCACCACGTTTGAGATATCTTTTTCAGGTAGTTCAGACACAAACCACGACAGCTTATTGTAGAATACTTCCTGCATTGGACCACCACGTTTGAGATATCTTTTTCAGGTATTTCGGACACAGACCACGACAGCTTATTGTAGAATACAATCTAATTTGTTTACTTTCGTTTTCTAGGTTATAGACTTTGCAAACATCCGTGAGGTCATGTTGGCCCTGCTTTCATTTTATTCCGCTAAATTAGCGAACATCGATCCTGCATTTTTAAAGAATTTATAGATTATAGATCACAAATATTTTAATGCCATTTGAAATGTATAGGGCAGAATCCTACTGTATCTAACTTGCAGTAAATTATCGCAATACTGTTGACCCAATGCATGTTAAGAAGGCGAATTAAACCGACAGTTACAGAGTTGTAAAAATACAATACAAAACAAACCGTTGCCTTGTCTGTTTTGAATAATTTTTTAAAGGTTTCTTTTTAACTTTTATAAGTTAAATGTGATAGTGTTAATTTTATCATCGAAGAGTATTATGTAAAGGAAAATAGTTGTATAATGTAATAAATTTTATTGACTTATTTGATATATAATTGTCATTATACTTTTTGCAAGATTTTGCGCAAATTTGACGCACAAAATGCTAATGAGCAAAAACCGGAAGTGCTCGCAACAGGATGTCAACTACAGGAAGTTATAAATAGCGAGTCATAAAAAATACAAGAAAAGTATAAATCGTATAAATCGCATAAATCTGAATTTATTCTGCCTAATTTCGTCTCTTTTGCTTTGTGTTTCGACCGGCCATGGATGCTCAAGAGTCGACAATTTTAAAAGTGAAGAGCAAATTGGACTCCGATTCGCTTGACGTTGACAAGGTCGGTGGGAATATGTTACAAAATTTGCCTTCTAGTTTCGTAGAAGTGTTGCACTGTTTACATTCGGGTGTACTCTATTTGGGATTTTAAATCATCGGGATTGGGAAACTTTTATTTAATTTGTTCGTAAATTGTGTTGTCATTGTAATTTTTCATCACTAAGTGTTCAAAATGTGTACGATGTGGTTAGATTTGATAGCATTTTATATGTGAAAGCTGGATTTTAGTTCAAACGTTGTTTATATATATCACAAGAAAATGTTGCATTTATTTTTACATTGATAACCCAATAAAATTATATATGTTGTTTGTGCAAATGGTTATTGCCTAGCAAATATCTTTTATTTATTTATATGCTATTATATAAAATGCCATCAAGACTATCTAGCTTGTGACATATATCTTCCCATATTTCTCTTATTAACATATTAAGATGCAATGTGTTCTGAAGCATCTTTAATAAGCCTGGTTTCCATATGGTCGTAACGGTTGTAAAGATTGAGTTACAACCTTTCTTATAATAGTTTTTTTTACCTGTAAACCACTGGTAATTACCACATATAAATCATACGTATTTCAGCTAGCTGTTGAGAAAGATTGTGACTCAATCTTTGCAACCTTTAATTTATGACTACATGGAAACCGTACCATGGTTTTACTGTGTTATATCTTCTGTTGAGCATTAATAGCAGCCGTGTAGTAGTATCCCACGTACCGCAAAAGTAGCATCGCCTAAATTATTAACAAATGTTTTTATACACGTTAAGAACATCAAGGGTGGGTAGTAGCGAAGTAGTTGTAGTTCGCTACTGTAGCAAACTACAATTTTCAAGTAGCCAGTAGTTTTTGACTACTTTTTTAAAACAGTAGTTGTAGTCATAGCAAACTACATTTTGCCTAGAAATAGCCAAGTAGTTGACTATATACTTTTCAAACAGCGAATCGCTATTCGCTACTTTTTAAAATTGTTAGCAACCGTTCGTAGAATGTAATGATATTAAGACACGGTTTGCTTAAAAGATTATTTTATACAGTAAAGATTATATTTTAGCGCATTGAAAAGTGGCACTCCTGAACACTGTAGTGCTTACAAAAATGTTTCTTTGACCCTTTTTGTTTACTGTTGCTACTCGTAAGTCGATTTGTTATAGGTTAAATTACAGCCTGAGCCCAAATATCGTAAAACTAAAAAATATACACATCGCTACATTTTTTAAGCAGTAGCTGTATTCAGTAGCGAACTACTTTTGTTCAAAAGTAGCAGTAGTTGTAGCAGACTACATATTTTGAAGTAGCTGTAGTTATAGCGAACTACAAAAATTTTGTAGTCAACCCACCCTTGATGAACATGCTAGACCTAATAACCCTATAACCAATGTCTCAAACCACAAGGGTGGCAGGGTGGGAACTACCACACTTGGTGCAAAAGACAAAAGATGCTAAATCTCAAGCAACATGCCCATATAAGGGCGTAGCACCTCACCCTGGGCCCCCAGGGTGAGAAATCAGTTTATCGCTTCTTTCATACTTCAGCCAGCGAGAAACTATAATTCATTTTCTATTTTCAGATTTTAAAGTATCTAAGAGCCTTAGATGAAATTGTTATTGGTTTTGAAATACTTAAGGTGGGTTTAAAATTTATGCTTCATATATATATATGTTTTATTCAGTAGCGTAGCCAGCCAGACAATTTAGTCCCGCTATGCAAATATTTTTGTGTTCATAGGTTGTGAAAACAATCAATTTCTAAAGAAATGAATAATGATAATAATTTTGAATTTGCATAACGGGACTAAATTGTCAGGCTGGCTACGCCACTGGTTTTATTATGTATATATTAAGTTTGTTTAGTAGAAGTCGATTGAGGCATTGACACTACTGTAGCTTGCAAATGTTTTTTTAAATGTGAACTTTCATCTTGAGCGTCAAACAGGTCAGGCTAGCACGAGGCTAGCAAAAAAGTAATTCTGATGACCTTGACCCTACCCTAGACCCAGTCCCTCAGCAGTGTGTGAGAAAAACATTTTTGCCTCTTTCGTTCCTCAGAAAGTAACAATTACAGGTAATTGCCACAAGAAACCCTTGACCTTGTGCCTTCTTCATACCAGGTGATCTCGTGTTCGTATTTTAGCCAATCAGCGCTCAGAAAGGGTTGTCCGAATAGAAATCCATTTCGATGTATTCAGTCAAGTATATCTTTCGTTATTCTTTATGAAACTACTTGAAATTTTGTAATTGTGTTTGGTTATGAGAACTATAGCTCTGACAAAAATATGGAATCGAAATAAACTATATTACACTCGAGATATTCAGTTGTTTTAATCATAAAATGGATTTCTATTTGACAACTAGTGCCAGCACTTTTCCGCGTATCAAGATCATCTGCTAGTATCACTATAGGCATTTAAATTGACTCTCTTTCAGTCAACTGGCATAGGAAAAACTGTCAACAATTTAAGGAAGAAAGGGGGAAGTATTGCTCTCTTATCGAAAGCTTTGGTGAAGAAATGGAAAGGTTTAGTTCCTGTAGAAAGTGATAGTCCGGTAAAGAAGAGCTCACCATTAAACTCATTAAAGTCAGATTTCAAAACAGAAGGTTGCAATGTCTCGACAACTCCACCAAAGCGTTCACAAAATACTCCAAAGAAGGAGACCAAGGGTATAAAGCACAAAGAGAAACTGGTTGATGAGAAGTCAGATATTCAAGAAAATAAAGCTGTGAAAAAACAACATAAGGTAACCAAGGTTAATGTTAGATAAAACTGACGAAATAAGGATCAAGACACCTTCAAAAACTCTATCTTCATTAATATATACCTAAGTTTCCAATTCAAAATTGAACCCGCAATTAAAAGGTTCTACATAGCATTGAGTTGATTGTCTAAGTCATTGTTGCCTAAATCTCATTTTCCACTAGGTGAATTTGTTCACACGAAGCGAAAAACAAATCTTGGCAATGTGATTGGTCAGCGAAAAAATTCGCCGCGAAAAAGTTGGATCAGTTCCTACTTTTCAAGTTCCGAAAAAATTTGCCTAGTGGAAAATGGGCTTAATGCGTTGCATTGCATGGCATTGGATTGCGTTTGTTTGCGTTGCGCGCTGTTAAGTACGTTGCGTTATGTTTAGTTGTGTTGCGTTACGTTGTGTTGCGTTGCGTTGTGCTTCGTTTCGAACGCCGTGCTTCGTAATTCGTAATGTAAGCAAGGATCTAATTCCATGCCTAAATCTATCTCTCCCTAATAAAGGCTTCATCAACCATGCAACTCTGTGATCTGGGCTTTGTGTCAAAAGCTCCAGCGCATAGTCCAAGAAAAAAACTAAAGACCAAACATTCGACAGTGGTACCCAGACCTCCCAGTCCAACCTTACCAAGCGCGGAAGAGATTGGCATCTCATTATTGCCAGACATACAACCTAATTATATTCCACAACCCAGACACCCGGACTATCTTGACGATTCGCCGCGAAAACGAAAAGGTATTAAGTTTTTATTAAAGTCGTTTGAAATACCGAAGAACCGGGATGCTAGCTGAGTTGTTTAACAAATAGGCAGCATTACCCTGCTTCACTTGGTTGGTTTCCATGAAAGCGGAGAATGAGCGTGGGGAATGCCGAAATGATGTCTGCAGGGGTTTGCAGAGTAGACTAGGAGGAAATCTGATGGGCTAGGAGGAAATCAGGGAGACCTGTTGTGTTTGGTAGAGTGAAACTGGAAGCACTCTTCTCACGTGTGACTGATGTAAAATTATAATCAGACAACTGTATATATATTGCCAGAATAATGAAACCCCAGTCCTAGAAGTGAAACACATGCCCTTAAACTACTGTGACACGAACATAATGGCGAAGGCATAGCTAACTTGCCTCCATTTATTTTAAGCACCTTCAACAGATATTCCAGCTAATTTGCTCTCGTCAAGAAAATCAAAAACTCAAGTATTTTCAGGAAAGAGGTCCGCAAATCGATCCGGAGGTCAGTATGATTATGTTGCATTGACGCAATTTACCTTATCAACACCAAATCATTTTTCAATTTTCTTTGCAATCTTATTTTCTTTTATTGCCATTTTTGTTTCAGTGGTCATATCCTTGCACGAGATTTGCATCAAGATTTTAATTGAAAACATAGAAGGTATGTGCTAATAAACTCCGTAGAACTCCCTTTTCAAATGGCAGAACTTGGTTTTCAAATGCCCGAAGTACCTTTTCAAACGCCAGAACTCCGTTTTCAAACGCCAGAACTCCGTTTTCAAACGCCAGAACTCCGTTTACAAATGCCAGAACTCCCTTTTCAAATGGCAGAACTTGGTTTTCAAATGCCAGAATTCCATTTTCAAATGGCAGAACTTGATTTTCAAATGCCTGAACTACCTTTTCAAACGCCAGAATTACCTTTTCAAACGCCATAACTCCCTTTTCAAATGCCAGAACTTGGTTTTCAAATGCCAGAAGTACTTTTTCAAACGCCAGAACTCGATCCCTTTACAAAAACTTTGGGTCGTTTGAACCTCCTGAATTTGTTATTTTGTGAAATATTTCTCTATTTTTCTTTTAGCTCTTTTCGACACTGGTGGAGTTCCTTTTGATATTTTGGAACCCGTTCTTGCAAAGTGAGAAGCAGTCAATTTACTAGTATATAGATTTCCCCCATTATCGTTTACGCTGCATAGATAAATCTATAAAAACTTTGCCATTTTTAGATGTACTCCAGCTCAACTGTGGAATTTGGAAGAGTATAATCCAGTTAGTTTGCTTTCATTTCTTTCTTGACTACCGGTAGTTGTTCACTATTTACTATAGGATAGCTCTATCACCAAGCTTGACTCATAAAGTAATCGAATCCTGTTTCTGCTTGTAGTATTTTACAGAGGACACAGGACCTCTATGGAAGATTCATTGTCAACGCGACTTTAAGGAAACATCAACCATGAATCATGATGAATGGCGAACGTTATATTTGGTTAGTCATTGTGCTTCTGTCAGGCTACTCAAAACAGTCAATATTGATCTAATAGTTTTTAAAATACGTTGTATTTTCCAGTGCACACGCGCGCCATGGGATATTGCATATTTTTATTTGATTTTTTCCACATTTTCACAGGAAAAACACGAAGAGCGGGATAAGAAATTAAAGTCGATTGACGCAAAAATAAAAGCTTCTCAAGCGGCCAAACAACAGGGTTCGTTATTTCTAACTTTATTTCTAACGTGCGAAGTTTGCTCCTGTAGTAACACTGGATGAAGAAGAGATAATCCTTACTAGACCTCAGGAAAGACTATCCAGTATAATTAAAGTTAGTTTAGTTTAGGTTTCCTCCTGTAGTAACACTGGATCAAGAAGAGATGATCTTTACTGGACCTCTAGGAAGAACACTTTAGAACTGATAGAGCCATCCAGTATAAATAAAGTTAGTTTAGTTTGGGTTTCCTTCTGTAGAAACACTGGATCAATAAGAGATGACTCTTACTGCACCTCTAGGAAGAACACTTTAGAATTGATAGAGCCATCCAGTGTAAATAAAGTTAGTTTAGTTTAGGTTTCCTTCTGTAGAAACACTGGATCAATAAGAGATGACTCTTACGAGACCTCTAGCCATAAAGCACTCCTGTTCGTGTTTTAAATAGTACTCAGTTTAGTAAAAGTATAATTATGAAAATTGTTTCAGTTCGTCAAGTGAAACTGGCGTACGTGCACACGCAAGCAAAAGCTCCACCTCAGGTTCGACGGAAACAGGTGAAGCATGGGACGGGACGTGGTTTTGTGATTGCTCCTCCATCCACCATTCGTCCCGCCAGAATATCCTCTACGTCAGCAATGACGTCATCAATGTCGTCGTCATCGTCAAGAGTGCCTGTCGTATCACCTAGGAAATCAAGTATGTGGATGCTTTGTTTGTTTGTTTGTTTGTTTGTTTGTTTGTTTGTTTGTTTGTTTGTTTGTTTGTTTGTTTGTTTGTTTGTTTGTTTGTTTGTTTGTTTGTTTGTTTGTTTGTTTGTTTGTTTCAGTTGCTCGCTTGTTTGTTTGTTTGTTTGTTTGTTTGTTTGTTTGTTTGTTTGTTTGTTTGTTTGTTTGTTTGTTTGTTTGTTTGTTTGTTTGTTTGTTTGTTTGTTTGTTTGTTTGTTTGTTTGTTTGTTTGTTTGTGGGTTATTTTTAGTTTGTTTCGGGTTATTTTTAGTTTGTTTCGGGTTTGTTTTGTTTTGAATTTGTTTTGTTTTGCTCTTCTTTGTTTTGCTTTGCCATTATTTCGTCTCGCCAATAACGCACGACTGTCTTTTGTTTTCAGAAAAAACGACAGCTTTAATGAAGAAGGTTAAACAAATGGGAAAATTAAACAGGTAACTGATATGCATTGTTCTGTTGTCAGCTTGCATATCTTTTGTATTATCCGGCATAATTTCTTTAGGAGGTACAACGCGTGTAAATGAGGCAAACGTTTTAATTCTAGATCAAGAGCAAATTCGTCAATTATTCGGTGAAGACGACCCGCGCTTTTCTGAAGGATAGTGGTTATGTGAGTATGAGAAAAGATCAAATCCTCTATTTTTAATATGTTTTAAATTTGTAATAGCCATATCAATTTACTCACTTGCCCCCAGTGGTGCCGGGGGATTGCGCGAGGCCCGGGGCGCAGGTTTCCCAGGGGCTCCTATGACGGTGTAAAACAGGAGAAACGGTGTTTTAGAATATATTGGACTTTATTGCATATCCTCCGTTACTGTAGGATTTATATTCTCTCGGGTAAACGATCCTGTGTGAAGTAGTTTTAACTTAGGCTATGTTTACACTTTACCGGATTTGGTTTCCAAAACTCCGCTTCCAAATACCAAAAGTCTGTTTTCAAATGCCAAGACTCAGTTTTCGAATGCCAGAAGTCCGTTTTCAAATGCCAAAAATCAGTTTTCAAATGCCAGAATTCCCTTTTCTAATACCAAAACTCAGTTTTCAAATGCCCGAACTCTATTTTCAAATGCCACAACTTCCTTTTCAAAAGCCACAACTTCCTTTTCAAATGCCAAAACTGAGTTTTCAAAAGCCAAAACTCTGTTTCCAAATGCCAAAACTACTTTTATTTTCAAAAGCCAGAACTCGCTTTTCAAATGCCAAAACAGTTACCTGTATACCCAATCATACTAAATATGAAACACATGTGCATCAAAATTGCCTTTCATTTCATTTCAAAATTGCTTTACTGGTATTAACTTTACAATGAGTCATTTTATCGTTTTCACATTTCAAAGGCAGAGTCTTTCACATTTCTTGACCAGGCGTCCCGATTTTGTTCGTTGTACGTCGTTGTTTATTTCCTTCAATAATCCCTTGTTTCGTTTCTCTGAATTCCTTGTTATTTTTGCGCCTATTCCTCCTTTTAATGACGACGTCACGTTTTTCTTTCCTCCAGCCGCGTGGAACTGGGTCGAGAGGCACGCCGAGGATCTTGTGAGCTGTAGAGGACAAACATGGATAAGAGTGGATTGTATAATGTACAGTTGTGGATATTAGATGAAGTGTGTTTAGAGGATGTTTCGGTAAAGATGGTGGTCAACCTTAGAAAGGCTGATGCTTATAGGAGTAAGAAAATTAAACTACAAATTTGCCTCCAAATACAAGACAGTACTACATATAATGAAAATAATGAACATTATTTTCCCGCTCTGATAACTGCAGGTTGCCCACTATCTGTTGCACGATAGAGAGTTTGAGCAAGGAACGAAGTCGTACGACGACGACGTGGTTGACAATTTTTGCCTGTCTTGCACACTACCTTGCGCATTCTCAGTCTATGATCAGGGGTTAAGCAGATTAGAGATTCATGTCTAGCTGTTTATGAATGCTGACCCAAATCCTTACCTTGATCAGGACAAAACAGCGAGACATGAATCCATATCCCGTCTTCGTTCTTCTGCCTTCGTTCACAACGAATATTTTGGTAAAATTCGTTGTGAACTTCGTTCCGAACGAAGGCAGAAGGACAAAGACGGGATATAGTTTCATGTCTCGCTGTTTTTTTTCTGGGTCAGGGCAAGAATTAGGGTCAGTATTCATAAACAGCGACACATGGGAAGACACGTTGAGCAACAACCAGTGACGTCCAACTCGGTATGCGCAAGATAATGTGCAGACGGCAAAAATTGTCAAGTACGCCTTCGTCTTCGTACTTCGTTGTCTTGCGCAAACTCTCTGATAGTGCTTAGTGAAATACGAAATGCATTCTGCTTCTTCGATAGACGAAGTAAATTGTACCATGTTTTTACCATTTGAGAATCCAGTGAATGAAATGTAAATAGATAAGTCAATGAAAAAGTGACTATTAAAACAAAAGTAATATTTTTACCCTCAGTGGTCTTGGAGTTTCTGGAAGTAATAACTCTGGATTTAATTCTTGTCTGTGTTTTTTAGCCCGTCTTAAAATACCCTACAAAAAATATCGTTTAAACCTACCAATTTTATTCATAGATAGCTCTATCAGTCCTAAACTGTTCTTCCTATAGGTCCAGTAAGGATCCTCTCTTATTGATCCAGTGTCACTACAGGAGGAAACCTAGACTAAACTAACTTTATTTATACTGGATAGCTCTATCAGTTCTAAACTGTTCTTCCTATATAGAGGTCCAGTAAGGTTCATCTCTTATTGATTCAGTGTTACTACAGGAAGAAACCTAAACTAAACTAACTTTATTTATACTGGATAGCTCTATCAGTTCTAAACTGTTCTTCCTATATAGAGATCCATGCAGTAAGGATCATCTCTTATTGATCCAGTGTTACTACAGGAGGAAACCTAAACTAAACTAACTTTATTTATACTGGATAGCTCTATCAGTTCTAAACTGTTCTTCCTATATAGACATCCAGTAAGGGTCATCCCCGTATTGATCAATTCAGTATTAATGACTCAATCACTTAGAACCTTGCATGGTTGACATTTACCTTTGGAATTTTGTCTTCTCTTTCTATACCCAAAATTTGCGATTTACTGCGGTGTATTTTTCTCCCACCTTTTTGCCGTAATTGAACCTTGAATTTAGTAAAACAAAGAGCATGTCTCCTGAATCTGCATAATGTTAAATTCATATATTTTTATGCATGTCGACATATTTTGGTGCATATTTTTTCCCAAACCTTGATTTGATTCATAGATACTTTGCTTTCTTTCTTCGCTACCCTACAATGTCTTGCCTGGTGATGTATTTTTGGAATTTTTGCTTGGTTGAATTTTATCTCATCCTGCAAAGCAACAGAACCACTGAAGGCAAATATATTATAAGTCTCGACATTTCTCATGTTGACCCAGTGCATTTTTTAAGGATTCTTCAGTGGTAGGGCAAAACTGCCAAAGGGCCCATTTTCCTTGCTCTCCCCCCAGGATAGTATGCGATCGCCGAAGCCGTGAGCCGTGAGCCGAGCCGGCAGGCAAAAGTTAGCTACGGGGGTCTGGGAGCATGCCCTCCCAGGAAATTTTTAAAATGTACATCTCTGAAATCCATCCTGCATTCTGAGAACACTTTTTTTAAATCTCCGCTTCTCAAAACAAAGTTCTAATGGTGAAATTTGTAATAAATTGCAGGCTAAACATTCAAACACAACATAAGTTTAAGTATGCTCACCAACAAATTTTGTTTTTTAAACGTCTTTTCAATGTTAAACTCGTGTAGGCTACTCAATACAGGTCCTAGGGCCCTTGGCTTTGGGGCAATATGCCATTTTTTTTCTTCAGTGGTGGGGCAGAGGAAGGGGCCCAGTGGGGCAAACGCCCCACCAGTCCATGGTATTAAAAAAATGCCTTGTGTTGACCTCCGAACTGCTACCTTCTCTGGTCCCCTAAAATCCAACAAACAATTATACGTACGCTGTAAAATTTCTAACACGAACAATATATTACCTTATCTTTTGCTTCGTATTCAGTATTATCAAACACATTCTGAAAATAAGCGTCGAATCCGTCATCATGTGCTTGTCTGTTCGCATTTTCCCCTTTTCTTATTCGTCTACCTTTTTGCAAGCCCGTGTTTGTGCTGTAACAGATGAATTATACTAAAGACGTTTGTTCCTGTAAGGACGAACTTGAGAAAAGATTAGATTCAGTTCGTTGAAGTGTCGACGTCATTTGTAGATTTTGTTAGACTTAAGAGCAGATGTGAAAAATGAATGATAACTTTGGGCAGGAATCGAATCTGTGGTTCTTTGTGGTTAGAACTTGACAACAGATGACCTCTTGACGAGTTTTATTTGCTCTTGTGCGCGGCAAAACATTGACAATTTTTCTTGCCTATATAAAGCGAGCTTTGTTCCAAAGTTATAGTCATGCCAGGTGTCGGACAAGGAAAATTTTTTCGCGTGTACGGCCCACTAAGGAAAACTTGACAAATGCACAAAAAATACTTCTTTGGTTTTGGCAATGAAAAGGCGAACTTGACGTGAGAGTAAATGTTTATAATACTCCGTGCACAAGAGCAACAAAACTTGTCAAAAAAAACTTTGTTGGCCGTACACACGAGAAGGTAAACTTGTTGACTGTACACATGAGAAAGTAAACTTGTCAAGGAAAACTTGTTGACTGTGCACACGAGAAGCTAGGTAAACTGACTTTTTAAGGAAAACTTGTTGACCGTACACACGAGAAAGTAAACTTGTCAAGGAAAACTTGTTGACCATACACACGAGAACGTAAACTTGTTCGTCTGTGGCGCTTTAGACCGGACGGGAAAATTTTGAATTAAAGTCTACTTACCATTTTATGGTCTGGCTTACTTGAGTGGACTTGGAAGAGTTATACACCATGAGACACAAACTACGAACAAGGTTAACAAGGCTTGTAGACAGATCTTCTATCACTTGCAACATGTGATGAGTTGAGGACACGCGATGCAAAAACGCACGCTTTTGCTTTGCGCTGAATATTAATGAGACTAATTAACGACGTCACAAATCGAATGGGTATTAAAGATAGTGCTTAGTATTAAACCCCGTATTTTATGAACCCTATTTTCATGTTTCAACTATATACTGCTTATTCTTTTCTTATATACTAGACTCTAATATGCGTGCAAATTCTGTGTATTTTAGTTTATTGATTGTTTTTTGAAATAAACTGGTTGATTTTTACCAAACAGCAGCGAGCCACTTTAACTTCACGCTGTCGTGGCCTGGACACTGCTTTTGTTCGCGCAATCAGTTTCAAAATGGCGCCACGACTGAAATTTCTACCCGATGCGCTTTCAAGAACTTTGCTTGAATTTCAACAAGAAGGCATACTTTTTGGAATATCTAAGAACGGCAGGTAATAGAGTAGATTTTAATCTTTGTTTCCGTAGCATTCGATCGCTGCTAGGCTTTGTAGATTTTGCAAAATCGTGCTGTAAAGTTGAGAAAATTTTGTGGGAATTTGCGCGTTTGTTTACATCTTTTACATTTGTGTTTTTTAAGTGTTTTTTTAGCGATCGCTTATTGCCACACAATGCATGTCATTTAACTGCTCCTTATGTGTGTGATCACAACGATTTTAATAATCGTTCTTCTAAATTAGTGTTATTTTATACAATTCTTTTTCATGTGCTGCTTGTCCCATTTAAAACCACGTGGCTACATCCATGTTTGACAGATGCTTGATCGGTGATGAGGTAAGCGTGGGAACCGTTTGTTTTGAAGTTTGACGACATATGCTAGATAAATGCTTTGATTAAAACCATATTTCAACCATGTTGATATATCTGACTAAATCAAGTTTCACAATCCATACAAATCAGGTTAGGGACCGGTCATTATTTATGGTGGGGGGTGGCACCGAAGAGAAATGTTTTTCGTGGCAAAAATTTTGCTGACCCAACCAATAAAAAGTAAAATATTTGGTTACCCAACCTCAAATATCAATTAAAAAAGAAATACCCACCCCTGGTCAAAAACATTACAAAAAGATACCATTCAGTTGTCTTACCATGCACTTCTGTGACATGAGTTTGATAACGGATTGTGAAATTTTCTCCAGTCTAAGGTTCCATGTTGTCTGCACATGTACTTTCTTTGGAGACACCATTTGTCTCCCAACAAATCGGAAAATGATCAAGATATATATAGTGACTCTGATTGATTCACATATTGTATTGACATATGACTGTTGACATTGCTTTTTAGTCTCCAATATTTCAGTGAGTCATGCTTGGAAATAACAATAATTTTTTATTACCCAACCCTTGAGTTGTTTTGTTTTTCATTTACCCAACCATTCACTTACTCAAAATTTAGTTTACCCAACCATTTTCTCTTCGGTGCCACCCCCCACCATAAATAATGACTGGTCCCTTAATTATCACACTACTTTTAGATGGGTCTCGGGAAGACATTGCAGGCTTTATCCATTGCATATTATTACAAGATTGAATGGCCTCTCCTCATTGTGTGCCCGTCTTCGATGCGCTTTCCCTGGATTGAGGAGATTGAGAAATGGCTGCCGGACATTCAACCTCATGAACTTAATCTTGTTCAGTCTGGCATTGATGCCAGGTAGCTTGTCTTTGTAAATGTTATATAACTAACTAGCTTTGTTTAGACTAGATAGTCCTATCATTGTTGAAGTGTTCACTAGTACTAGAGCTTCAGTAAGGATCATCTTGTATTGATCCAGTGTTACTACAGGAGGAAACCTAAACTACACTAACTTTATTTATACTGGATAGCTGTATCAGTTCTAAACTGTTCTTCCTAGAGATCCAGTAAGGATCATCTCTTATTGATCCTGTGTTACTACAGGAGGAAACCTAAACTAAACTAACTTTATTTATACTGGATAGCTCTATCAGTTCTATACTGTTCTTCCTAGAGATCCAGTAAGGATCATCTCTTATTGATCCCGTGTTACTACAGGAGGAAACATAAACTAAACTAACTTTACTTATACTGGGTTGCTCTATCAGTTCTAAACTGTTCTCCCTAGAGGTCCAGTAAGGATCATCTCTTATTGATCCAGTGTTACTACAGGAGGAAACATAAACTAAACTAACTTTATTTATACTTGATAGCTCTATCAGTTCTAAACTGTTCTTCCTAGAGATCCAGTAAGGATCATCCCTTATTGATCCAGTGTTACTACAGGAGGAAACCTAAACTAAACTAACTTTATTTATACTTGATAGCTCTATCTGTTTTAAACTGTTCTTCCTAGAGATCCAGTAAGGATCATCTCTTATTGATCCAGTGTTACTACAGGAGGAAACCTAAACTAAACTAACTTACTGAATAGCTCTCTTAGTTCTAAACTAAAATTCATAATCAATTAATAATAATTAATTACAGCAATATAAAGACGAGCAAAATCTCAATTGTTGGTTATGGTTTGCTCAGTCATTCAGGATCTCGTTTGCTAATCAACTGTTTGAAGGAAATGAGATTTGGAGTCGTTATTGTTGATGAGTCTCATTACATGAAGAATAGGAAGGCTGCACGAACAAAGGCTCTTATCTCGGTCATTAAGCAAGCCAAACGAGCTGTTCTCCTGACTGGTACGCCCGCTCTTGCCCGACCAGAAGAGGTACAAATACAGTCCTTTGAAGGGAATTATGAGACTCTGTCAGAATATTGACAAAAAAGACACAGCAATTCTTTAGGTGGACTTAACTGAGCACTGTCATGCCATAAATGATAGTGAAGTGGCAGTGATCAAGATGAGAAAATAATATTCTTCATTTGCAGCAGGGCTTCAAATTTGAATTTTTCAGCAGTATCCAATGGGATAGTAGCAACTTAAGATCTAGTATCCACCCAGAAAATCTAGTATCCCACATTTGCAAAATATCTTTTCATTCACAAAACGTCTTTCTTCAACTTGTTCATCAGTTAGTATTTGCTGTGTCCCAGTAGATTTTTTTGTTCGCTCAGTTCGTATATTGTATCTTAACATTTTGCCAACATATTTTGAATATGAGTGCGTGAAGACGAGCTATTTCAATTGACAGCGTGGCATGAAACGTTTGCGTTAATATGGTAATTAACTTCTCAGCGAAATATCAGTGGACAGATTTTTTTCAGTATCCGTCAGGATACTGAACTTGTGATTTCCAGTATTCAAATTTAAAATCTGGTATCGCTGGGATATTGGGATACCGCAAATTTGAAGCCCTGCAATTGCAGGGTGCGATATTTCAAGATTTTCAGCCGTACCTTGCTGGTACACGAATGGTTGTTGCCACTTACTTGCGCTGGTACAAACTCAGTACTCGATGTGTACTTAGTCATTAGAATAAGGTTATAAAGTACAGGTTTCTGAAACGTATGTTCAGACTACGAGGTAGAAAAAGAAGCTCAATTGCATATACAAACAATCGACTCCAACGTTTCTTAGTGCCATCAGTGCAATCATGTTTCATGCCAAGACATCTCAGACACATGATATACCACCTAAATTACGGTACTGAATACCTTGGACTTGGTAAGGTCATGTGCTACCAGCAAAATGCAAGTACGCAGATAGCCAGAGTTTCGCGTACCTATGTGGTACGTGGCTGAAAACAAAGAAGTACCAGACCGTAATATTGGCACTTATTAAAACAAACCAATAGTGCAACAAACTTGGTAAATGCATGACTTTTGAAACACAGTTAGATGCTTTTGTCGTAATTTCAGGTGCTCAAAATGTGTGATATAACTTCTCATTTTCATTTAACCTGTGGCAGCACTCTCCCCTTGACGAGTAAGATGAAAACGTAAGGTAGATTAGGGCACATTGCCATTTAAAGGGTTAACAGGATGCATAGGCAGAAAGTCTGATCAACCCACTGAGTGCCAGCTCTATTCCCTTGACGAGTAAAATCGTCGGGCATTAGACAGAGTAAACTGAGTAAAGTAATGTTAATGAGAAATTAAACACAGCCAACAAGACAAGGTTCAGATTTTCGTTTTTTTACTCACAAAGTTAAATGATTTGAGAAATTATTGTCATGCCAATCTCCTCGTATGCAGTACTATATATGACGTATTTTCTTTTCAGCTATATGTCCAAGTTGATGTGCTTAAACCCAACTTGCTGGGATCGTTCAATAGATTTGCGAATCGGTATTGCGATGCTCACACCGAGCATGTTTGTGGCGGGAAAATACGAAATTGGAACACTCAGTAAGTTACCTTAGTAGTTTGAGATATCATTGTGGATCATTCAATGTATGGTATTCAGGCCCCGAATTTTCCTGAAATCAGTCGACGGCAATGACGTTAAAAATTGCCGTAGAACGTAACAGCTGTCTACGGCAATTTTGGCAGTTTCCACGGCATTTTTCAAATTACTGTAATAAAACTTTAATTTTATTGTTACTTTGGATTTTGGACAAGCTAGAAACATGTCTACGTATTTCTTTAGTGTTTTTTTTTTCGAAGAAAACTGAGACTAATAGTGATTAACGCATGATTTGATCAACATCTGAATAGTATAAAAATTGCACTATACGGCAAAAAATTGCCGTCGTTGCCGCAATGATCCACGGCATTTTGTTCTCTCTGTACGGCAATTGCTGCGATAAAATTCGAGCCCTGATGGTATTACACTAGTTTGAGATATCATTGTGGATCATTCAATGTATGTATGGTATTATATTTTTTCACCACAGAGGTGCTTCAAATCTAGAGGAACTCCATAATGTTTTGAAAACCAACGTTATGATCCGAAGACTAAAACGACATGTAAGTTGAAATGTCCAGGGTATATCTATAAACACATGTACACCAGATTAATTTAGAATCTTGCACGATTAACCCTTTAAGTAGCAATGCACCCTACTTCAGTATTTTACTCTGTCTAATGCCAGGAGAGTACTGCTACTTAATGGGTTAATATTTCTACCCATCACTTTACAGGACTCAAAATAATGGCCGGTCAACGAGCCTGAGGGGCCGAGACAGGTTGCATGGGACAATTTTAGGCAAAAGTTGTGTAGTGTAAATTGGCGTTAATGAAGTGCAAACACAATTTTAGGTACTAACCCAGCTTCCTGCTAAACGTCGCCAGAGGATAACTTTTGATTTAGCTGAATCAGAAGCGAAAAAGGTAGACAAGTAACTACAAATTTGTTAGTTTTGTCGCTAGTGACACCGTGATTAGGGCATGTGTCTTTGAAGTGTTTGACCTCTGTGACAAGAATTTGATTCCTGTAATATGCAGTTGTGAGAAGAGTGCTTCCAGTTTGACTCTACCAAACACTACAGGTTTTCTTCAGGTACTGCCGTTTCTTCCTGTAGTAACACTGAATCAATAAGAGATAATCCTTACTGGAACTCTAGGAAGAACAGTTTAGAACTGATAGAGCTATCCAGTATAAATAAAGTTAGTTTAGTTTAGGTTTCCTCCTGTAGTAACACTGGATCAATAAGAGATGATCCTTACTGGAACTCTAGGAAGAACAGTTTAGAACTGATAAAGCTATCCACTATAAATAAAGTTAGTTTAGTTTAGGTTTCCACCTGTAGTAACACTGGATCAATAAGAGATGATCCTTACTGGACCTCTAGGAAGAACAGTTTAGAACTGATAGAGCTATCCAGTATAAATAAAGTTAGTTTAGTTTAGGTTTCCTCCTGTAGTAACACTGGACCATTAATAAGAGAATAGAGATGGCCGTTACTAACCTTTTAGGGAGAATAGTTTACAGCTGATTGAGCTATCCAGTATAAATAAAGTTAGTTTAGTTTAGGTTTCCACCTGTAGTAACACTGGATCAATAAAAGATGATCCTTACTGGACCTCTAGGAAGAACAGTTTAGAACTGATATAGAGCTATCCAGTATAAATAAAGTTAGTTTAGTTTAGGTTTCCTCCTGTAGTAACACTGGATCAATAAGAGATGATCCTTACTGGACCTCTAGGAAGAACAGTTTAGAACTGATAGAGCTATCCAGTATAAATAAAGTTAGTTTAGTTTAGGTTTCCTCCTGTAGTAACACTGGATCAATAAAAGATGATCCTTACTGGACCTCTAGGAAGAACAGTTTAGAACTGATATAGAGCTATCCAGTATAAATAAAGTTAGTTTAGTTTAGGTTTCCTCCTGTAGTAACACTGGATCAATAAAAGATGCTCCTTACTGGACCTCTAGGAAGAACAGTTTAGAACTGATAGAGCTATCCAGTATAAATAAAGTTAGTTTAGTTTAGGTTTCCTCCTGTAGTAACACTGGACCATTAATAAGAGAATAGAGATGGCCGTTACTGACCTTTTAGGGAGAATAGTTTACAGCTGATTGAGCTATCCAGTATAAATAAAGTTAGTTTAGTTTAGGTTTCCACCTGTAGTAACACTGGATCAATAAAAGATGATCCTTACTGGACCTCTAGGAAGAACAGTTTAGAACTGATATAGAGCTATCCAGTATAAATAAAGTTAGTTTAGTTTAGGTTTCCTCCTGTAGTAACACTGGATCAATAAAAGATGATCCTTACTGGACCTCTAGGAAGAACAGTTTAGAACTGATATAGAGCTATCCAGTATAAATAAAGTTAGTTTAGTTTAGGTTTCCTCCTGTAGTAACACTGGATCAATAAAAGATGATCCTTACTGGACCTCTAGGAAGAACAGTTTAGAACTGATAGAGCTATCCAGTATAAATAAAGTTAGTTTAGTTTAGGTTTCCTCCTGTAGTAACACTGGACCATTAATAAGAGAATAGAGATGGCCGTTACTGACCTTTTAGGGAGAATAGTTTACAGCTGATTGAGCTATCCAGTATAAATTAAATTTGGTTAAGATAGTAAACCTACATACTGTTCTACTTAAAGCAATTGGGCGAGGTCATCGAAGAATTCAGAAGTGCATGCAAGCAAGTTAAAGGCTCCAGCTCGTCTCAAAGCCAGCCCGCAATGGACACGAATCCATTGTTTGAGATGAAGCGATTGGCAACTGTTCTCTACAAACAAACTGGACTGTCCAAGGTATGGAAACAATCTTGATTGATGATTTGTCACTACTCTAAAGCCCTGGGCAAACTAGGAAACATTGTTGCGGAAACATTGTTTCCTGCCAATGTTTCGCCATGTTTCCCAGAGTGGGCAAACACTAGGAAACATTAGTGAGAAACATAGGGAAACATCAAATGTTTCTGAATTTGCTAGGAAACATTTTTGCTTCTCGGGAAGCAAATTTTGTTTCTGCAACAATGTTTCCACGGGTGGGCAAACAGGGAAACATTTGAGGAAACATCGAGAATCACAAATGTTTCCGCAACAATGTTTCCTGGTTTGCCCAGGGCTTAAATCACACCAGTGATTATATTCATCTCATTTGTGAGCTTAACGACCTTTTTGTCAACACTGACCTCACATGGAAACTGGTTTCTCAAACTCATTAATAATTCATGAGTAAATTAGCCAACCATATTGCTTTATTTTCCTCACATGATAAAACTGGATACCTGATGAAGTACATTGACCCAGTCCTAGGGCTGGATTAAAATTAATTCACCTCACTTTAAGAAAAGTGAAGGGTGTGGGTGGGTGGGGCGACAGAAAAGAGTCCAAACAAGTAAAACATTTCTCGAAAAATATATGACTAATGTTAAAGTGCCTATGACACGAAATTTCACCCCAAATGTTTGTGATTGCATTGTAAAGATCACTTAAAATGACTTAATAATTTCTTTTATAGAATTTTGGTAACTTGCTTCCTTTGCAAGATATTCAATTTTGTTTCATATGCAAATATCACCGGTGTGACATCACATCGCATAATGACATTTTGAAAACGCAATATTTTACCTTGGTAAAATATTTTTACAAACAAATACAGAGGGTTAATTACCAGTCATGAAATTAATACATATACAAGGGCAATTTTTAAGTTTTTTAGATACGTATTCGTCAAGAAAACTATACTTTTCTGAAAACTCATTATGTGATGTGATGTCACACCGGTGATATTTGCAAGTTACCAAAATTCTATAAAATAAATTATTAAGTCATTTTAAATTATCTTTACAATGCAACCATAAACCTTTGGGGTGAAATTTCGTGTCATAGGCACTTTAGACAAATCAAATATTGCGCTAAAATGATATTTAACAAATATAAAACATTTTCCGTGTTGATATACAGTTATATCAAAACGAGTGGAAATTGGGAAAACGAGAAATTGTGTGGAAACATGACACCCGAAGGACGGAGTGTTTTCACACAATTTTGAGTTTTCCCAATTTCCACGAGTGTTGATATAACTGCATATCAATACGGGAAAAATGTTTTATATTTATTTTATAATATAGCACAAAGAAATATAAAGAAAGAAATTTTCTGACGTTTCCGTGTTGACACTGAGTTATATCAACACGGCTCTTAGCCAATCAGCGTTCAGAATTTACACATGCTATATTATAATATAAATTGAAGTATATGTTAATAAGTTCGATACATTACTTGTCTATAATATTGACTTGATTATTGACTTTATTAAGATATATGTTTAATTATTAAATTAACAAAATCCCAGTTCATGATATCTATCAGAACAGAAGATTGTCAACTTTTCAAGATCGTCTGTTTTGTTTTTGAACATCGCTTTGCGGTGTTAGTACGTGCTGTCAAGATCTTGGTTTTCGATTAAATGATTCAGTTCCAAGCAGAGAAGCTAAAAAGTTGATATACTTAAATAAAGGTGATGGTGTCCCCCACTTGAACAGCAACTGGTCCGCTTGGATGACTTTTCATATGTACAATCCAGCTAAATTGGTCTGTATCTAGCTTATCGAAAAGCACTGTATTCTCCAGTTCACTTGTTTCAGAATAACCGAGCAAGAACCTGGAATCCTGTTTCCCAACATAGGTTAAAACAATTATTTTACAAATGCTATGATGAAATACCACCCCCACGACTATATGACCTTCTGGTACTTTTATTGTGGATTTTAAGTTACCTTCTGTTGAGTATATTTGAACAGCGCTGCGATCATGTGATTTTATCATGATGTCATTGTTGTTAGAAATACTCGGGCTGCGTAGTAGATCTCCATCTCGTTTAAACTGAAATTTCAACTTTCCTGTGTTTTCACAGATATATACCTGGTCATTCCAATATGTGAGCATGATTAGGTTTTGGTTTTTGTCAACAGCAATGTACACATGTGCATATTTTCTTGTGTCAAGGAAATCCAATACGGAGACATGCTTGATGTTGTAATTCTTGTCAAAAGCGTACAACACAAAATCGTACTTATCACTTCCATCTTTATCAAGTGTCCTAAGCAGTCGTACAGCATACACATTGTCATTGCTATCAACAGCAACATCCATTCTGTAATGATAAATAACGTTATTTTCTGTGGGTTTGGGAAGCATAACATCCTTGCTTTCACCTGTGCTGTAAATAACCGTGATTTTGTCTTCATCTAGTAGAATAATTTCACCACGGCTATTCACAGCAAACGCAGCGCCCCATATTCTCGAATCATTAACCACTCGGTTCAGTTGTTGGACAAATTCTTCACTACTCGATGTCTTCGCCATAATCTCGCGTGCGTGTAGGATAGGATGAAATGTACGATCCTTCAACTCTATTCCAGGCCAGGTAAATGGGTTGGGCGATTTACTGCTATACTTGGAAGCGAAATCATATAACGCATGATTGATGAACAAAACAGACGTTATGTTTTCTAACCGTTCAGCTTTCTTCAGCATTGATTTCAGTCCTCCCTTGAGAAAAACTGCGAACATTTCTTCGATTACTGGTAAACCATGTAGCTCTTCAAGTGGCAACAAACAGGCAGTAGTTGCGGCTTCCGGGTCTTCAAGACCTGATTCAAGAATTCTGGCTGCCACACGTAACTTGCAAGCCATAATTCGATCTTTGATGCTCAGAGATTTGTTGTTGAAAGCATGTGTGGCTGCCTCGCGAGATGCTTTGAAACAATCTTGAGCAGAAACGAACCGCTTATCGGACGAGATTTTTAATCGTTGAATCGCTTGAGGAAGTGATAAGGCTATGTTCAAAATACCAGATGCTGTATCATTCATAACTCTTGTTGCTTCGTCTGTTGGACCCTCACTCGCTTTCTGATCTTCATTCGACTCATCAAGGGCATGATTTAACAATCTTACGCCTTCTTTCAGGAAACTATAACTACTATCAAGTTTTTCAAGCGAAAGACAGTCGAGTTTCGACTTGATGTCGGTCAAATCCTTAACAATTATTTCACGCAATTTTTGATCCGCTAAATCTCCGTCCTTGAGTTTATTTGCAGCACTATCACGAGCTTTGTCGCACAATAAACCCACGGTTGAACTTAAAATTCCCGTAATTATAGAACACATGGCTTTTTCAAAGCAATATTCAGCGAAGGTCGAAAAGGAACTTGTCTCGTCACGTCTCAAAGAAAGTGTAATATTTTGTGTAATTCGAATATTTGATGCTTATTTATATATTGTAAGATTACGTCATCTCTGGTTGCTGGGAAATCCCAAATAATTACGTCATTACAGCAGATTTAAAATTTTCCGCATCAGAATACAATGGCTGATATTAAAAAGAACAAGACGCTCCACCGAGCGTAAAGTCGGTGGGGCGATGGAAATAAGCACAAGTGATACCACTTAAGAACAGCGTGTTTGTTTTTCCGAAAACATTGAATCTTGAAGTTTGCAGTTTGCCTGGCAGTTAGCACTAATAGTTAAAACAAGTACAACCATGTAGCAATGTTGTTTTAATAGTCATATAGTATAAAGTATCTATCGTTTGTGTTAAAATTATAAGCGTTTATCCTGTTGTCATTACACAGATGACAGATCGGCTGGTGTAATGTTACCAACTGGTGCGTCGAAGGCTGGAAGGCAAGAATATTCTTCCCTTCGAAACTAAACACATTATAACGTCTGTGTAATACAATAATGCCTCGTGAGAGGAGATTACCAAGCGACTGTATTATGTATAGCAATAACGATTTAGTCATATCTACTAATCTACATACCAGTGCGCCTGTGCAGTATAGAGGCGGCAATCTGCATGGAATAATAATATATGTTATTGGGCCAAGAAAGATTCTATGTTACTTCCACTTCCGTTCATTTGTCCCAATGAACCTTAATCCTTCAATGCTATTTAATAGGAATAGGACTCAAAAGAAGCAGGCGATGTCTGACTTTAAGTTTAATTTATGTAGATCCAAAAGACCAAAATATTATTACTGACTGCAAAGTTTGGAAATTGCGCTCCGGAGATTTCGAAAATTCAATAGTAAATATATAGAAAGCATCAACATTTGCGCGCCCGATGTCTCCGCCGCGCGATACAAATATATGAAATTATGTACAAAACTAACAAGCTAGCCCATATTTGGATCAAACGGCAAACGCGCAAAAATCTATTCACTATAAAGCCTGCTTTCTACCTGGTTCGAAAACGCTCAACATATTTTAGTGTAGGCCTTTCCACGAATAATGCATGGATGTACCCGAAGGTATATTTGCATTTTTTGTACCCGAAGGTATGTTTGTATTCATGAATCATAGGTCTATCACGAATATATGCACATTCATGCGAGATGAGAGTATCTGAAGATAAAATACATTCAGTACTTACCCTGTGAAACATCGATCAGGCTTCAGTCTTGAATCCTTGAAAACTATACAAAAACATTCACGATATTTTGTGCTTTCACTCCTTGAGAAGAGAATCTTGAGTCCTTGTCGCAAATGTTTCCGCTTAAATATACTCAATTTTCCTCAATTTTCCAACTAAATATAGTTCTATAATTCAATGTCGTTGTCTCACATGTTTCCACTTCAATATACTCAAATTTCCTTAAAATCGTGACGTGTCATAATGGAAATTTGTGTACAATGGAGATTTGCGATCTGCGATCCGCGAAAAAAAATGCGTGCCGAAACCTAGAGTCGGTGGGCACCACAGGTGGCCCCACCGACTAATCAGAATTTTATGTAACATTTCATTTACAATTTATGTTTCATGAACGCCGGGAAATTTCACTAATTAAATTCACGACTAAGTCCTGAAGGTCAAAAAGTGTATTTTGTGTCATTTGATGCCTACTTTTTAACGCGGTTCGCGGATGCACACCAGCGGAAAATCGCATTGCGGAAATGCGGAATTTTGGGATACTTGTTCCAGATCAAAAGTCTTTCCAGATCAAAAGAAAACTGGCCAAAAAGATGAAGCAAAACCGGCCGATCCCACAATGGGTGCGAATGAGGACAGGAAACACTATAAGATACAACGCCAAAAAACGTCATTGGAGAAGAACCAAATTGGTCTCTAAACCATTCTGAAACTGACCAAAAAAATTTGGTGCCTCTTGCACCCCACTAAAAAATTTTCCAACCCGGCCCTCAGTTTAGAAAAATGAAAATCCACCCTTGCATTACTGTGCACTCTATAAAGAACTTAGAAAGTTTGCACTACTGTCAGTATACCTAGCTATAAGCTGGTTCAGTAATAGCCTGCGTGGCAGGCCCTCAGTTTTGCGGGGGGGCGGTATCTACCCGGCAACCAATCAGCGTGGAAATTTTCAATAATCACCTATGTAATTATACTAATACCGTTTATAATGGCATTTGTAAATTCTGAACGCTGATTGGCTAAGAGCCGTGTTGATATAACTCAATGTCAACACGGAAACATCGGAAAATTTCTTTCATTATGTTTCTTTGTGCTATATCATAAAACAAATATAAAACATTTTTTCCGTATTGATATACAGTTATATCAACACTCGTGGAAATTGGGAAAACTCGAAATTGTGTGAAAACACTCCGCCCTTTGGGCGTCGTGTTTCCACACAATTTCTCGTTTTCCCAATTTCCACTCGTGTTGATATAACTGTATATCAACACGGAAAATGTTTTATATTTGTTAAATATTAATCAGATTTAAAAAGTTTATATGGAATTGACTCTAAAGACTAAACTCTCGGATTCGGAGAAAAATTTATTAAGATTGAACTATGTTACATGAAGGAATTTTTGCTCCAACGCTATAGAAGCTAGATATTTAGCGAAAATCTTTGAGAGAACTGTCAGTGAGAACTTTCTCAGTGCGACTCTAACCCAATCCTCATGTGAGAAGAAAAAAGCTCTGGTAAAAGCCAACGCAACCTTCGTTCCCAGGCTGAAGTCAACGCTCTGCCAAAAGTCGTGGGTTCTCTCCGGGCCTCCCACAGGGAAAGTTGACAGGGTGGGTTAGGTAAGATGGCCCACAGTAATTGGAATATGCTGTTGTGGTGACCCTGCCCTAGTTGGCAAAACAAATACTAAATGTATCGGGTAAATTTACATCAGTTTTTTCAAACTTTATAGACACATTGATCCATGACTAAATTGACTGCGCTATTGATGTTTGACGGTTGAACTACTGTTTTTGGAAATGCCAAAAATTATTAGTCAATTTTTACCGGGTTTTCACCAATTCCTAAAACGCATTCCAAATTCAAACAGTTGTATCTCCTCAATGTTGCATGTAAATTCAAGTGCTTTATATCAAAATCTAAGTTAGTCCATTCTGAATGCAATTATCACTTATTTACTGAGACCGAGGGAAACAGTGTGTTTTGTGGACCCGAGACCGTCGATGTTCGAGGGTCCACAAAACACACTGCTTTCCCGAGGTCTTAGTAAATAAGTGTTTTATTATATTTCAATAGTCAAAGAAACAACAAATTAAAGAACAAATGAACGTAAATACATGAAATATTTTATTGTTAAAACGTTATATTAAACACTGGCTACACTCAGGGCCGCAGAGAGGGGGGGGCAGGGGGGGGGGGGGGAAA